TGCCTGTCCTCAGAGCTCAAACCCTGCAGGGCCCCTTTCTTCCACAGGGTTTGCTGTCAGCATGAGATCTCCCTGTTCACTCTCCAACGTAGGGACATAAGTGCTCAGAATCCTGGCATCTGCCCTTGGGGATTCTGCTGTGGGAGAGTGTTTTGGAAGAAGCAGCAGAATTGTACCTTAGTTTGTAGAGAGGGTATGCAGGAGTTTCTACCTATCACTGCCTGGTTGCTTGCGGCCTCATGTTTCTACATTGCTAACAGTAATGATTGTTCTCCCCTCTGTTTACAGGCAATGAGAGCACTGCTTAAGTCTGGAGACACAGAGAAAATAGTGTTTTTTGCTGGAGTCTCCAAACAGAGGGAGATTTATATCATGGCAGCCAACTACCTACAATCACTGGATTGGCGAAAGGACCCAGAGATTATGAAGAACATCATTAGCTTCTATACCAAGGGAAAGGCCCTTGACCTCTTAGCTGGCTTTTATGATGCCTGTGCTCAGGTATGTCCCTGTCCATTCTCAGAGGAGTTCAGTTTGTGACAACGGGAAACAGGACACTTATCTTATTTGTCTTCTCTCTGTAGGTGGAGATCGACGAATACCAGAACTATGAGAAAGCACAGGGAGCACTGACTGAGGCATTCAAGTGCCTGTCAAAGGCGAAGACGAGAAGCCCTGTAGAGCAGGAGAGCAAACTGGCACTCTTACAAAGCAAGATGGCTTTGGTCAAGCGATTCATCCAGGCTCGAAGGTAATTTGCAGCGTTCAGAGCACACAATGTATATGGAAATCTGTATCTGAGGAAAGCTCTCTGCTTTAGCAGCAACAGTTCCATGCAGGAGACTAACTTCTGAAAGCACTCATGAGACTTTTGGCCTCAAGGAACCATATGGGTGTAGGGGATGACAGGTTGACTTTTGAGTAAAAGGTGAAGGTGGCCTTGAGGTGAGTGCCCCATCTGCTGATTTATGAAGCCTCTGCCTACTCTCCTCGTTAGAGCTAAGATACTATGAGGATGTCCATCTTACAGAAGGGAGGCTATGGGGCTTACACAGGTCTCGAACTGTGGTTCAGCTGAGAGCCTGATGTAATAAGGGAGAATTTGTCTCCTCCCCCCATGGGATATTTATAGTTTCAACCTGTTCTTTCACTAGAGTTTACTCTGAGGACCCCAAAGAGGCAATCAGGCAGTGTGAGCTTCTCCTCGACGAGCCAGACCTTGACAGTACCATCCGCCTAGGCGATGTCTTGGGCTTTCTGGTTGAACATTACTTACAGGTGGAGGACTTCCAGATGGTAAGTTGTTATTTGGGCATCATCCATGTTCTTGGCGCTGTACAGAGGAAGACAAAGGAAGCCCTAAGAAGCATACAAGCTAAATGTTTGCATCCCTTGGGAATGCAGCTCACTATTGTACACTCTCAACCTTCGTAAGTGTAGAGGTGCCATAGTAGACAGCTACCCTTGGAGTATTTATGTTGACCTTTGCTGGGCAAGAGAGCTGAAGTATCATTGCGAAGCACCGTGTGGTGCTTGCAGTTTTGATCCCGGTGTAGGGTATGCTAAAGGAGCAGCAAGACTGAATCCATTTTTAATCTGTGGTGGGAGAAAGAAGTTTACTTTACAGGACTTTGAGAGTAACATTCATAGAGGTGGCTCCTGAGATACTCGTAACCATTCCCATTAATAGAGAGAGAGGAGCAGTAGGTTATTTCTGGTCATTTCTCTGTAATTGCACTGTGCCTCCAACAGCCACCTGGCTGGCCCAGAAAAAATGGGAAATCATAAATTTGTAGCCATCTGGGGAAGTGATGAGTCATTTGTTCAGAGCAGGAAGTGCCAACAGCAGAGTGCAGAATGGCACAGGATTACAGGCCTTGGACTAAAAGTAACCTGCTGTTCTGGACCAGCCAGGTGCTGAGCATCATGCTCTCCTGCTCTGGCACTAACCTGTTTATTACAAGCTGTCTTGACTAGAGCCACTCAGAAATTTTCTGATGAAACTTAGCGAGAAGCTGGGAATAGGCGACAGGGGATGGATCACTTGATGATTACCTGTTTTGTTCATTCCCTCTGGGGCACCTGGCATTGGCCACTGTCAGAAGACAGGATACTGGGCTAGATGGACCTCTGGTCTGACCCAGTATGGCCATTTTTATGTTCTTAGCTGGAAAATGATGATTCACTAGGGCAAAACATTTTGCCAAGTCTCGTGCAGATTTGATAACTTTTGCTGAACCAGTAGCAGGTTTCTGTGTGTAATGTTACACATCCATCCATTGGAAACCTGCTAGTGTTCTGGAATTGAAAGCTCTGCAGCAGAGAGTCCAGCAGCCCCAACTGGAGCTGGAACCTGGAAGTCCTAAGACTGGCTCCCAGAGTCTAGGGCAGCCCTATGATGCAGACTATTGTAGGGCTGCTGCCAGCTCAGGAGTAGGGCAGCCTGAGAGTCCGGAAGACTGAGTGTCCTTGGCCCTGTACTAATCTGAATGGCAGGACTGCCCTGGACTCTGGGAGCCCCGGCTTGACCAGGGAGCATAGCAGCCCCAAGAACCTTGCCTTCAGCCAGAGCTCCTGGAGCAGTGATATTGACATTCTTGTCAATTTTACATATTTTGTTTCAGGAATGCTCTATTTTACTATTTCTAAAAAAAAAAAGTGGGTCTGAGAAATTTGGGTACCCTCAGAAGAACTGAAACTAAAATTTGACATCTCTGACCTTGACAGTGCTTCAGGTATCAGGGCAGAGGATGGGGGCTGGTATTGGAAAACCCATGTCCTCCCTTCCCTTGGATTTAAATGCTAATCCCAGTTTTTATTCAAAAGACTCTCATCATTCTAGTGATTGGTTTCCATGTTGTTGCTCTTCTGCAAAAACAAGTGAAAGGTAGAGGGTTTCCTAAAAGTTTAGGTGTTATAAAGGCCCTGGCTCCTGGATTTTTTTTTTTTAAATCTTGGAAACGGCTGGGAGGCTCAAGTCCCTCTAGAGAGTCATCTCACGGATCTCCTAAGAATCCCCAACACTACTGAACAGTTTAGTGTGATGCCTGAACTGAGACTGCAGCACCCTCTGTGCTAATACCAATATTGAACAAACCCCACAGGTAGCTGAAGAGAGCTTGTGAACCAGCCCTGCACTGGTAACTCAGTTTGCATAGGCTGGGAGGTCTGAGCCTAGCAACCTATATCTGGGGGGGAGGGATAGCTCAGTGGTTTGAGCATTGGCCTGCTAAACCCAGGGTTGTGAGTTCAATCCTTGAGGCGGCCATTTAGTGATCTGGGCCAAAAATTGGGGATTGGTCCTGCTTTGAGCAGGGGGTTGGACTAGATGACCTCCTGAGGTCTCTTCCAGCCCTGATATTCTGTGAATGCAACATATCTAGATGTTTTTTGCCAGGCTGCTGTGATATGAGAATAACAAGAACACATCTCATGCCTGATATCCTAACATCCATTACCCCTAGGCCTACAGATACTTGGAGGAGATGCGGAAAAGAATTCCATGCGTAAACCTGACCTACTATGTGAATGAACGGACCATTGAGGCAGTTCACAGAGGGCTGGGCATTCCCTGGAACCGGAACCCTGTCCCAGAACGAATTCGCCACAACAGTATTGAAGACAACAAGGAGGTGGAAGAGGATGTAGCTGATGAAGTCGAGGATCCCTGATGGCTTACTGTGTAAACTGGCAACATTCACATTCAGCTGTGAGGAAGCCTGGCCATTGTTACAGCACCCAGCTACCTGGTCTAGGCTTGTTAAGGGCAGAAAGTCAAATACTTCACTTAATGCACAGCCTGACACTGTAGTTTGCCTGGATCATACCAAGAAGATTAATTTGTTATGTATAAGCAAAACTGTTAAAGCTCAAGCACTAAGTCAGTGCAGAGGGACAGGTTGGGCCTCAGACAGCTACTATTAATCTTTCTTTTTTATTGTGCAAATTTAGAGATTTTTAATACGTCAATACATTTTTAAGGAAAAAAAAAAATGAATGTCTGATTAATTAAGGCCTTAGCTAATCCTAATCCCATGAGTACAGGAGCAGTAGAAAAGTGAATCAAGCATGTCTAGCTCTAACTGTCTATGCATACAGAAGGCAGTTTAGTTAGACACTTTGCAATGATATGACAAGGCCTCAAATAGAAAGAGAATGGGCTCAGCAGGTGCCCGAGTCATTCAGAGCTGTGTCAAAATTCAAATCAGTGACCTTCTACAGAAGTAGGAGACTTCTTCCCCTGTTAACTAGTCCCTCTAGATCTTGCATTTAATTTAGCAAAGGATCACTTGGAGTAGAGCTTGCAGTTACAGAAGAATAAATTCTACCTCCTCCACTCCTGCATAGGCTGGAGTTGGAGTAATTTATCCTGCACAGTTTTCTTAACTTGAAGCCTTTCCCAAACCAAACCCTGGATTTAAAGTGGATAAAGTTCAAAACCCTTTACTTGATTTTAATTGGGGAAAATATTCCTAGTGAAATGTCAGGACCATTCTCAGTGGGCTCTGTTCTAGAAGGAGATGACAAGCCCCCTACCTAGTGACTGAATATCTAGATTAAGCTCTGCTTTGCAGCTCAAGGCAGGATCAGACCTGTCAGAGTCTCTCCCCCTCAATCTCACCATAGCAATGTCCTTATCTATGGCCATGTCTACACTTAAAAGCTTACAAAAGCACAGCTGTATCACTGTAAGTGCTTGTGTAGCTGCATTATGCCGCCAGGAGAGCTCTCCCGGTGACATAATAAAACCAGCTCAGCAAGCACTTATGCCACCAAAATTTATGTCACTGAGGGGATGCTAGCATAGACATGGCCTTAGTCCCTGCTGTAAGAGAAACTATGTGTTTTCAGCAGTCACCTGAACACATTCCATACTACCTGATGTTACAGAGGAGGGTTGGAGTGGCTGGTTTCCTTTGTGAGATTTCACAAATATTAAGCAGTTTGGAATAGGATGTTAAAATAGGACTGAAATGAGTTATGCCTTAAGAACAAGACACTCCAGCTTTCAGCAAGTTTCTCTTTAATAGAATGCTAGTATAGACTGTAGCATGTGAAGTGCTCAATCTCCTTCCTCTGCTTGCAGCTTCCAACCATATTAAGATTATTCACACCTGAGGAAAAAGACACCGTGTAACTAGAAACTAGAGCCCTGCCTCCCCCACACCAACCCTGGTGGACCGAGTCTCTGCTCTAAGATTATGCACATTGTCAATACGCAGGAGCCCACTGGGGATGTTCACAATGTGTAACTCTTGACTAGAATCATCCTTTACAACGAACCACTCAATCCACAGTATTCCTGCCAACAACAACAAAAAAGTATGGATTGGATGAATGGACTATAAGCTAGATAGAAAGCTGGCTAGTTGTTGGGTTCAACAACTCGCTGTCTAGTTGCCAGCTGGTATCAAGCAGAGTGCCCCAGGGGTAGGGCCTGGGGCCAGTTTTGTTCAATATCTTTATTAATGATCTGGATGATGGAATAGATTGCACTCTCAACAAGTTCACGGATGACACTAAGCTGGGGGGAAGAGGCAGATATGCTAGAGGGTAGGGATAGGGTCCAGAGTGACCTAGACAAAGTGGAGGATTGGGCCAAAAGAAATCTGATGAGGTTCACCAAGGACAAGTGCAGAGTCCTGCACTTAGGATGGAAGAACTCCATGCATTGCTACAGGCTGGGGACCGACTGGCTAAGCAGCAGTTCTGCAGAAAAGGACCTGGGGATTACAGTGGACGAGAAGCTGGATACGAGGCAGCAGTGTGCCCTCATTGCCAAAAAGGCCAACAGCATATTGGGCTGTAGTAGTAGTAGTAGCAGCAGCATTCCCAGCACATCAAGGGAAGTGATCGTTCCCCTCTAGTCAGCACTGGTGAGGCCACATCTGGAGTCCTGTGTCCAGTTTTGGGCCCCCCACTACAGAAAGGATGTGGACAAATTGAAGATAGTCCAGCCAAGGGCAACAAAAATGATTGGGGCTCGAGCACATGACTTACAAGGAGAGGCTGAGGGAACTGGGCTTGTGTAGTCTGCGGAAGAGAAGAGTAAGGGGGAGATTTGATAGTAACCTTCAACTACCTGAAGAGGGGTTCCAAAGAGGATGGAGCTCGGCTGTTCTCAGTGGTAGCAGATGACAGAACAAGGAGCAATGGTCTCAAGTTGCAATGGGGGAGGTTTAGGTTGGATATTAGGAAACACTATTTCACTAGGAGGGTGGTGAAGCACTGGAATGGGTTATCTAGGGAGGTGGTGGAATCTCCATCCTTAGAGGTTTTTAAGGCCAGGCTTGACAAAGCCCTGGTTGGGGTGATTTAGGTGGGATTGGACTAGATGACCTCCTCAGGTCTCTTCCAACCCTAATCTTCTATGATCCCTCCCAGGAGGTTGGTAACTAGTTTGCCAAAGGCTGACTGCTGGGAGACCCTCAACCCTTCACTAGAGGGATGCCATAGAGCTGGCCCCATGAGGTAAATGGCCACGTCCACTCCTCCTGTTTTCATAAAGAGAAGTCTTATGTGAGGTCTTCATTATATTTTTAGCTGAACATTTAAAATTTGCCAAGGCTATAAATAGCTGGTGCAGAGTGTGTTGGAGAGGGGGACGTGCAGAGAGGATGGCAGCACTAGTCCACTTTCCTACATCTGTACACTCAGTACCAGATAGCAAATAGCTCATTGAGTTAGCCCCCACTACAAAGTCCAGATGTCAAGTCGGGCTCCCTGGCTTTAGCTCTACACCGCTCCCCTTTTCTTCTCCAACCAGGTGATTAGTGAAGGGGCCCAGCAGTACCTAGGAACACCCAGTTGGCAAGTGTGTTAGGTGGAGGTCACCTCTGTTTTCAGTTTCCCCCCTACAACTAGGAAGGGATACTTCTGAGTTTCTTCAGCAGGTTCTCCATTAGCAGCAGGTTCTGCCAGGCCAGCCTCCTGCAGTCTCCATCTGGGTCCTTTTCTGCTACATCTGCAAAAGAGGATGATGCCATTATTTGACGGTGGGAGGAAAACAAGGATGCTCTTTACAGTCCTTTCCTAAACTGCTGAAATCCAGTAACAGTGAAAGAAAACTAACCCTCTGGGCTAGTGTTCAACACTTCTCGCACTGCTCAGATTTAGGCCCAGAAGCTACTCAACTTATCTCCCATGAGATATCTACACTCAGATTGCTTAGACCAAACAATAGTTTTAGCCTATGTTGCATGCTCACTCACCCAGGTGCACACTAACGCTTAGAATGTTAGTTCCAAAATGACTGGCAGTGGGGCAGGTGATGAAGGGGGCTTGGAAACCTGACATCAGGGCAAAAAGGGTTAGGTTTTAAAGCAGCTTCTAACTCTTGTGCGCACATATTCTGTTTGTACACAATCACCAACAAATCATATAACCATGTGCACAAATGGGTGTAGTAGAGAATAAGAATAGCCCTTAAGTATAGCTAGCAGTCAGCTGATGGAAGCGTAAGACAGGCCCAAGCGACGCTGGTGCCTTCACACAGAGCTGGCGCTGTGAGCAGCGTGTAAATGAAGGCATTTGCAGAACATCCATGAAACTGTTATTCCAGGGGCCCATAATCAGCTCAAAGTAAAAACTCAGGATGCACTCAGGATGTCAGAGCAGGAGGGAGTCTGGAAGAGCAAAGAGTCTGTGTGAGGATATCCTGTACGCACAAGCAGTGTGCTCAGAGCCCAGCACTGTGTCAGCCTAAGCACATGACTCACACGGATGGAGTAGGGTTATTTATAAATTCAGGGAGAGCTTCAGGCTGGTGTTTCCATACTCTAGGTGGGGGGAAGCAGCCATATGAGAGAGTGTACAGTCCCAGTTTATTAGCTCAGAGCCTGTGATATGCAACTGGAGACGATGTCATAGCATGGAGCTTGAGCTAACTATGCTGCAAGAGAGGGTAGGGAGAAAGGAAGGGGAGTAACCCTGCACCTCAGAAGTCCTGACATGAGAAGACACACACTCCCTGCAAACTGCTCCAGGCCTCATGTGGGGTGAAGGGGATTCCCTCCAAGGACCTCTGCAGCTGAACCAAAGAAGGGATCATGTCTTTTCAAGATGATGGAGTAACTGAATTTTAAGGACAGGGCCTATCATAACCTACCCAAGGGGATGAGGCAGAACAAGGAAAGTGACACATTAAATGCTGCTTAGAACTCTCATCCTCAAAATGCTCTGCAGCTGAAGCTTATCAGAAGTGACCAATGCAAGAATGATGTGCCTTCTCCAACCCAGGGCAGCTTCTCCCATTCAGGGATGGCCATCAATTCAGCATTTCCCAACCGGTGCTCCCCAGCAGAGGGAGAGAGACAGCCCAGTTGTTTCTTGTTCCAAGCGCAGAGGAATTCTGTAGTACCTGCTGGAAACCACTGACTTTTTAATATCAGAGGGGTAGCTGTGTTAGTCTGAATCTGTAAAAGCGGCAAAGAGTCCTGTGGCACCTTATAGACTGACAGATGTATTGGAGCATAAGCTTTCGTGGGTGAATACCCACTTTGTCGGATGCAGACTTTCTAATGGCATCCAGGACACCGCATGCGTCAGACTGGTTCCATCTGGGATGAAATTAGAATGTAAAGTTTTTGGGGCAGGAACCAAGGCTTGTGTGTATAAGAGGGCTGTGCAGGCTTCTGGTGCTTGATGTGCTGCAATTATTATGCTCTTATCCTGCAATCACCACCATGCTATCTGAACTCAGCTGTGCACACTGCACACTACAAACATCACCACTGATACACTGTATCTTCCTAGCACCAGAAGAGGCATCCACAAGACTAGTTTCAGACACAGAAAGGAGGTGCTGCTATTCCAGGCCTTCCCCTCTCCCTGCCAAGTACAGCTAAAACTATCAGCTAGTTAAAGACAGGCAGACCACAACGCTCCTTGAACTGAATTCCTCAGACATTTACAACATTCATGGAAAGACTCCCCTTGCTCTCAGGAACGTTATAGCAGAGGGAGGCAGATTCCTCAGCACACACCATGTCATGGGAAACGTGGAGTTTCTGGCCCCTGTGGCTGCTCTTTCCCTTTAACCTGCAGGGATCAGAGACCGGCTGTGTCGGTGTCACTTCCGCCCCAGCCCCCATGGGAAGCCAGTTTTCTAAATGTCAGGATGGTGAAGGAAACCAACTGAGGGCAGAAGAATAGTAAAGGGCCCAATTAGCACACAGAAGTGCATCCAAACCTAGCTCGAGGCTGAGAGCATACAGTGCCATTTCCTCTTGCAAGTTTCCAGCATGTCACCTCGAAGGCAGTGCTGTGTGATACGTGCTGCCACGTGCTGCAGTCCACGCTCCTGCAGTGCACACTGGCTGAGTCACTCACTCTGTTTTGTAGACCAGATGTTTGTTCCCTCAGCACTAGGAAAGTTGGAAGAAAGAACCATGCCCTCCTGCTCTCATCATTTGCCACCATGAAAACTGGTATGAGGATGCTCCCCATCCCCCATGCACCCAGTGCACCTGGGCTGTGCAAATTCTGCCAACCCAAGAGCACACTGGTTGCTTATCAGAAGTTCAAGGTCTGCAAGTAATTTAAAACATGAAGGTCCAGCCTACAAGTCCATGGAATATGAGGGGATATGGTGCTTGGCGTAAGTGCACTGTATTCTGGACCTGGAGTCTCCGTAGGCCATATTTACCTATGGAAGGTGAAGGTGACTATGTTAGAATACTATAGGCCATATTTGGCCCAAGGCTTGCACTTTGGATGCCTCTGCAACACCCCCCACCTTGCAGCAAGGGCTGTACTGGATTGATAATTTGGCCCCTTCTTAACACGAATGACACATGCACTTCCACATGAGGCTCTGTTCAGCAGCACAAAGAAAGTAGCAAAACATCCCTTCATAGAATATCAGGGTTGGAAGGAGCCTTAGGAGGTCATCTAGTCCAACCGCCTGCTCAAAGCGGGACCAATCCCCAACTAAATCATCCCAGCCAGGGCTTTGTCAAGCCTGACCTTAAAAACCTCAAAGGAAGGAGATTCAACCACCTCCCTAGGTAACACATTCCAGTGCTTCACCACCCTCCTAGTGAAAAAGTTTTTCCTAATATCCAACCTAAACCTCCCCCACCGCAACTTGAGACCATTACTCCTCATTCTGTCATCAGCTACCACTGAGAACAGTCTAGATCCATCCTCTTTGGAACCCCCTTTCAGGTAGCTGAAAGCAACTATCAAATCCCCCCTCACTCTTCTCTTCCACAGATTAAACAATCTCAGTTCCCTCAGCCTCTCCTCATAACTCATGTGTTCCAGTCCCCTAATCATTTTTGTTGCCCTCCACTGGACATTTTCCAATTTTTCCACATCCTTCTTGTAGTGTGGGGCCCAAAACTGGACACAGTACTCCAGATGAGGCCTCACCAATGGCGAATAGAGGGGAATGATCACGTCCCTCGATCTGCTGGCAATACCCCTACTTATACATCTCAAAATGCCATTGGCCTTCTTGGCAACAAGGGCACACTGTTGACTCATATCCAGCTTCTTGTCCACTGTAACCCCTAGGTTCTTTTCTGCAGAAATGCTGCCTAGCCATTTGGTCCCTAGTCTGTAGCAGTGCATGGGATTCTTCCGTCCTAAGTGCAGGACTCTGCACTTGTCCTTGTTGAACCTCATCAGATTTCTTTTGGCCCAATCCTCTAATTTGTCTAGGGCCCTCTGTATCCTATCCCTTCCCTCCAGCGTATCTACCTCTCCTCCCAGTTTAGTGTCATCTGCAAACTTGCTAAGGGTGCAATCCACGCCATCCTCCAGATCATTAATGAAGATATTGAACAAAACCGGCCTGAGGACCAACCCTTGGGGCACTCCACTTGATACCGGCTGCCAACTAGACATGGAGCCATTAATCACTACCCGTTGATCCCGACAATCTAGCCAACTTTCTCTCCACCCTATAGTCCATTCATCCAGCCCATACTTCTTTAACTTGCTGGCAAGAATACTGTGGGAGACTGTGTCGCCTTTCTGTCCTACAGACACTACACCCTGTTACCAACATCACCACCACTTCCCTCACCTGCCAGCCAGGACTGGGTCTCCAAGAACTCGTCTGTCATGTCCTCCAGCAGCCGCTCACTAGGGACACTGAGGAGGATGGAGGAGACTGCAGACAGGAGGCCCTGACGCACATACCTGGTGGAGAAGCAATGACCCAGTGAGAAGCTGCAGCTTCCCTCTCTTCCTTTCCCCTACACACCATGTTAGCTGCTCTTCTCCAGACAGTGTGTTTTACTGCAGTGCCCTTGAGTTTCTCACAGATGGCTACTGCCAGTACAGCCAGACTCCTAGTGAGCACAGATTTAATCAGAGCTGGCAGACCTGGTCCCCTTGCTCAGCTCTATGCTGCCACCCAGCAGAGCTGGGGCCAGTCTCTTGCTCCCTGGACCAGAAGAGGCTGGAAGCCTGGGCTGGGGGTGAGCTGAAAGGTTACTAGATCTGCTCAATACCCTTCCAGCTGTGGGGGTTTAAATCCAAACCATTCAGTTACTCTGAGCTCCTGCAAAAAAAGCACCTCGGAAATATCTTACATGGGGAAGCCACCTCAGGGATAACTCAAAAATGGGTCCAAAAGGTTTCTGCCATGCTTTCTACATGCACTGACTGCGCCTCTGGACAGAGAAGACATTCGAGAGGTTTCAGACCAAAAGATGAGTGAGGTGCCAGGACACAGGATTTGGCAATGAAAGTTCCACCTTAGCCAAAACTGTGATACAAGGGTTAAAGGAGTGTTTAGTGCTGATGGGGCTCCCAAGGACAGCCCCATCTCTTCTGCCCGCATGAGGCACTGCAGGCTTTGCTCTAATATGGAGCAGGGAGGGAAAGGGGGCAGAGGTGAGCTAAGAGAATGGTGCATTAAATCATCCACGTAACCTCAGTCAGGCAATACTCTCCACCTGAGATTGAAGAGTCCCAGTAAGAGCACCTGGCCCTCAAGCTGATCATCTTCCCATCACCAAAATAACCACAGAAACACACAACTTACGAGTCTGTGTGGAAGCGCAGGGCCCAGACAAACTCCAGCAGTGACTTTCCCATGGCAGCAGCTGCCTGCAGGACAGGATTGAGGGGAACAGTGAATAAGTAGCTTCTCACACACTGACTCACAAGGGATATTGACTTGTCCACAGCTAGGACCACATGCAATGGGGAAAAAGTCACCCAGATGGGTCTCTGGGGAACCCAACGACTCTTTTAGCAGTCAGCACATACTGGGTTTTTTTCCTGCCTTCAGGCCCCTCTTGGGAAGCAGGAAGGTAACTAACTCAACCCCATTTTGCAGTTGGGGAAACAGGCAGTAAAGATACATGCCCAAGTACACGCAGGGAGCAGAATGCAGGATTCCTAGCTCCTAACCCTGTTCTCTGGCCAGCCCACCCCCCAGCATCTGCCAGCTGCTCACTGGTATGGCATCCCCCTACACATTGAGGTCATTCCCCAATGAGTGCAGCAGGCACCATGCTCCAATGCCACTTCAGAGGCCATCTCGGGGCTCACTCCCCACTGCAGTCAGCAAGTGCTGCATTATGGGCCTCAACTTCCTTACCACAGCGTGGATGGCAAAGTACATCAGGATTGCCAGAGTGTGCACCAGCCTTCCCAGCACAAGGTGATCGTCTCCCAAAAGGTCAAAGGTCACCAGAGGCCTGCAATGCAAGACACACAGTTCCTTTGGGTTGGCAAGTTTTCTTATTGCCTTTTCAGACCTGCCAGAGCGTGGCTTGGAAGGTCAGCAGGAAACACTGTGTCCAGCCGGTCACTGGCAATCTCAGTTCTGGAGACAGCGGCTACCAAAGTAAAATGGAGAATGCCTCCCGCCACATCTACTGGCTCCCATGCACCTCCCAAAGTGTGCTCAGAACATCACTGCTCACCATCTGGCCAGGGGCACTTCTGACTTGGCTTTCTGGTGAAGTCTGGCTGAACTAGGAAGAAATACATGCAAATGCCAAATGTTGTAAACAATCAGAATTGAGACTGCTTTAATGCTGTCTGTAACCTCAGGCAGGTTAGGACTATACCCAGGTCCTTAATTACCTTAGAGCATCCTTACCTGACTAACATTAAACTGCTGCCTAGATTTGGTCAACTATGAATACAAGCACCTGGCAAGGTGGAGGAAGCAACACCATGGCGGCTATCCAAGGCCACAGACTGCAGCTCCTTACAGTTGAGATGCAATAGCTTGTAGGAATGTTGCCTGATAATCATGTATAGCACCAAAACTTCAGTCATAAACGTCCATCCATTACTGAACGAACTGTCTGGACTGTTAGTGTGTGTCAAAACCCCTTGTGGCCATTCAAAGGAACTACTGCTTTGCATCCTCCAAAAGCAAAGCATCACTCTCCATGCTCCACCTCTTTTCCAGATACAAAGCCCTGTCCATCAGATGCCTGGAGTAGGCTAGAGCCATCCAAATGCTTCTCGGGCATCCCCCATTGTACCTCCTGCCTACGCAGCCCAAATCCCTAGTTACTTCTGAAAACACAGGCCCTCGTCCCAATTCACTGCTGTATTATGGTCACTTTGGGAAGGGACGTAGCCTAGGAGTTTGAATCACAGAATATTAGGGTTGGAAGAGACCTCAGGAGGTCACCTAGTCCAATCCCCTGCTCAAAACAGGACCAACTAAATCACCACAGCCAGGGCTTTGTCAAGCCTGGCCTTAAAAACCTCTAAGGATAGAGGTTGCACCACCTCCCTAGGTAACCCATTCCAGTGCTTCATCACTTTCCTAGTGAAATCGTGTTTCCTAATATCCAACCTAGACCCCCGCCACTGCAACTTGAGACCATTGCTCCTTGTTTTGTCATCTGCCACCACTGAGAACAGCTGAGCTCCATCCTCTTTGGAACCCACCTAAGGTAGTTGAACATTGCTATCAAATCCCCCCTCACTCCTCTCTTCTGCAGACTAAATAACCCTAGTTCCCTCAGCCTCTCCTCGTACGTCATGTGCCCCAGCCCCCTAATCATTTTCGTTGACCTCTGCTGGACTCTCTCCAGTTTGTCCACATCCCTTCTGTAGTGGGGGGACCAAAACTGGACACAATACTCCACGTGTGGCCTCACCAGTGCTGAATAGAGGGGAATAATCACTTCCCTCGATCTGCTGGCAACGCTCCCACTAATACAGCCCAATATGCCATTGACCTTCTTGGCAACAAAGGGGCACACTGCTGACTCATATCCAGCTTCTTGTTCACTGTAATTTCCAGGTCCTTTTCTGCAGAACTGCTGCTTAGCCAGTCGGTCCCCAGCCTGTAGCGGTGCATGAGATTCTCTCTTCCTTCCTAAGTGCAGGACTCTGCACTTGTCCTTGTTGAACCTCATCAGATTTCTTTTGGCCCAATCCTCCAATTTGTCTAGGTCGCTCTGGACCATATCCCTACCCTCCAGAGTATCTACCTCTCCCCCTCAGCTTAGCATCGTCTGCGAACTTGCTGAGGGTACAATTCATCCCATCATCCAGATCATTAATAAAAATGTTGAACAAAACCAGTCCCGGGACCGACCCCTGGGGCACTCTGCTTGATACCAGCTGCCAGCTAGACAGTTGAGCCCGACAATCTAGCCAGCTTTCTATCCATCTTCTAGTCCATTCATCCACTGAGCTGTGGACTGGTATGTGGCACTCCAGGAGTTTTATTCCTGACACTGGCACGAACTCCCTTGGGGGCCTTGAGAAAGTCACACCACCTCTCTGCGTCTCAGTTCAGTCACTGATGACATTAACAGAGCAAGGTCAAGGTTCACCCTCACAGTCATGTGTTGCCATAGTCCCTTGGTAAGCCAGGACCCCAAGCACTCACCATCTCACCTGTCAAAGTTCTGAATCAGGGGGAAGAAGAAATGTCCAGCTAAAGAACTGAATTTGTTTGGGCCACAAGCCGGTTCCACTAGAGACTGACCCTGTCCAAAAGAGAGAAGAGGATTAGAGAGGAGAAACAGCCAGCCACAGTACGTGCCTCTGAAGGGGTTACATGACCTCACTCCTCGGTGCTGTCAGACCTCACTGCTGCAGAGAGGGGAAAGCACAGTAGTAGCATTTTTTAGCACTGAAGTGTCTTTTGTTCCTCGCAGTGTCCTGAGATTGCCTCTGACTGGCATTTCCCAGCTGGGCCTACACTGGTTCAACACTGCATGCTTCAGTCAAATTCCCCAGAGTTGGCTTCCCCATTTCCAATTCCTCCTCATCCCCATCTCTGAGGAGTTCTACAGAGTCTTGGCCCAGTCCTGTGGTATGGGAGGTGGAAACTTGAGGGGAAGCAAAGCAACATGATAAGTGAAGCAAAGCACAAGATAAGTGAAGCTCAGAAGTGAGGTTTACCTCCCAGTACAGGAAATTAATCAACTTCTTTCCATGCAAGACATAGGGAAGCTCTGGGGGTTAGAGATACAGAATGGAGGTGGTTGGCTCCCAGGATGGGACTGGAGGAAGGGGCTGAGAAATGAGTTGCAGAGCCACAGCCCCCTCAAAACCTCCCACAGTAGGCAGAGGGCGGCTCTGTGGATTGGAAGCGCAGAATGGAGACCGGGAGCTCCCAATGTGAGACATGGAGTCCAAGGTATAGGGACAGTCTTCTTTCAACATGGGGCAGCAGTGGGGATGGGGGTGAGCGAGTGCTTCAAGGAGCTGGATACAGCCCCCTGCCAAGAAGGCACAGAAGACTGTGGAGTTTTTTTTTTTTTTTTAAACGAAGTTACCCAGCCTTTGATGATGATACACTGGTCCCTGGCCTGGATAGGACGGAGGCAATTCTTGGAGTTAGCCCCACTGCAGCTCTCTCTGCTTTGTGGTATGAGGTGTTCCTGTATTTCCACTGTTGAGCATCCTGGCCTCACCTTCGCCAAATGGCGTGTCTTGCTTTTGATCCTCTCATCCACAATCCTTCTCCAGTCCTGGGAGCTGTCACTGCCAGGGACGGTCTGGATGCATGGACTCTGGGCACTCCAGGGCTTATTTTTCCCAGAGGCCTGGGGCTGAGAGAGTTCCTGAGCGGCCAAAGCTAGGACCTAGATAAATGGAAAGAGGTTCCATTAGAAGACGATATTCCTTCTCCCTAACAAAGAGACTAAGAGCAACAGTCACCTGCACTGAGCTGGTGGGAGTAGGGCAGGAATGAAGAGAGGGGCAGGCACAAAAGAGCTCAAGTGAGGGTGGAAGGACTGACCCCACAAGTTTGAGGCAACTGAGTACCTCTGAGATGCCGCAGGGGATATTCAGCAGAGGAGCTTAGCTGTCCAGCCAGGAAAGCAGACAGCAGCTCCTTCTCTAGGTACAGTTAGTGAAGTGGGGTGTCAGCATGGGGAGGGTGACTGAAAAAGCACCAGTAGACTGAAAAAGCACCAGGAAACTTTAGTACACTCCCTAAAAACCACTGACTGCTTCCAGACAAGTGGTCATCATCCTGGCCTCTTCTTTGCCATCTCCTCTCTCACCAGTTCCCATCACAATTGTACAGCACGTTAACCTCTGAGGGCAGGAAGTGACGAGCAGTAACTGATGTTAACATAACAGCTTCCCCCAGGCTGCTCCTATTTTGCCCCATTGTCCTTTTCAATCAGGAGTCAAGGGATTACCCCAGCTCTTCTCCCAGAGACAGGGGTCTCATGCAACGGGGACCCATGGATAGGAAGGTGAAAGAAGGGGAGGAGCTAGAGAACAAAGAGAAAAGAAGAGGTGAGTCACTTACATCCAGAATGTCCATGCGCTGACAGAGACTGTAGTTCAAGGAATAGAACTGGGAGGACAGATACTGCGCTACCTGCAACAAGTCAGGGAACAACGAGCATGAACCAATAACTGGGGAAGAAACCTGCTCCCCCACAACTCCTCCCCGAGGGCTGGAGTTCTAGAGAGGAGAAATCCTAATCCTGTTAGTAATAAACCAGGAAAATCCACAAATGGGGAGAGAAGAACCATCCGAGCAGGGGAAATTCAGGGACTCGCACTGCCACGCCCTCCCAAGAGGAAGCCAATACCAACCAACATGACTCTGCCATTCTACAGCACCTTCCACCCGGGGTCTCCAAGTGCTTTACAATCAGTAACTAATACAACCTTAGCACATCTCAGAAGCAAAGACATCTCCTGTCACAGATGCGGAAACTGAGGCACAGAGAGGCTATGTGACTTGCCCAAGGCTAGCTAATTTGCCCTGAGACACACACACATTTCTTTATCACCTCTGGACACTTCCTATCAAGTCATTTCAGTGGTCTAAACCTCTAGCCTAGAGTTTCCCTCTCAGCCACTAACCCTCGAACACATTGGCTCCAATCGTTCCAGTTCACGGCCCAGCTAATGAGGAGGCAGGACAGCTCTTCACACAAACTCAGCCTGCTCCATAATGGGTCATCCAGCCTACCATCATGGAAACTGCTTCTGCCATGCCAGCAAGAGACACCAGCTGCAATTGCTCAAATCCTTAAGCCTGTACCTATTACGAGGAAGGAGAAGCACAGAGACTCACTGGTACTGGATCTGTGATGGTGACAGCCACTAGGGCTCTCTGACGGAGCTCCACAAAGCCCTCAATGTAGGTCTTTTCCTCCAGGTGCAGCAGTACTTTAGCCAACTCCATGCTCACCTGCACAAAATACAAAAGCAGAGAGGCCACCTTCTGGGCTGCAAGTTCTTCCCGCCCCTGAGGGTTTACAAAGGAAGATGCAGACACAAACTTCATTTTGGCTGCCTCTGAGAGAGGATTGGACATGAAGAGGCAGGGCCTGAGTATTAGACACAGCAGAGGACATGACAAGCCAGGGTGCCACTGAGGTAGGACTGCTCAAAGAAATGACTAACCTCTTGGTTGATGTCCATGCCCCTTTAAAACATGGCTTTTGGAAGAACCTTAGTGGCAAGGAATGGAGAAGACACCTTAGTAAAACCTACAGTGCAGTAAGTGATCCCTCTAGTGGCCAGCCCACACAACAGGATAAGAACCTATAACTGCTACTGTTACATCTCCTGTCAGTTGGTAGAGGCGCATGCTTTTGGCACTGGAAGACTCAAGTTCAGTCCCTGCAGATGACCCATGGTGAAGAGCCACTGCATCAGCAACCCCTTGTCCCAATTTCTCTCTGCCCACCCAGGCTCTGCATCTTGACTAGTCTGCCCCAAACATCTCTTGATGAGGAGCCAGAGAGAGTGGAACACAATGGGTCTGAAGAAAGCATAAAAGACATTTTATTGTCTTCTGATTTGCATTGCTGCACCAGCTGAGGCTTCAAAACTGCTCCACAGGCAGCTCTGCTCACGCTGGACAAAGTGTGCCGCTTCCAATATCCTCCTCAACCCTAAGCTCACTGGTAGGCTCTACTTGTCTCCTGGTCTCCATTCCCACTGCAAAAGGAGTCCAAAAGAGACAAAAAGAGCCAGCTGCCATGCTGCTGCCTTCACCATGGTCTGTCCCAACTCCAGGACAAGTCAGCCTGGTCTGTCGCTCTTTATACGTTACCATCTTGCACTGCGTTATGCCTAGCTTCCTTCTGAGGCCAAGATGGCAACCCTCTGACTAAAGCCTGTTGGAACAGCCCACGTGGCCTTACCTCTCTTGTAGTAGCTGAATTCCTTCGAATCAGACTCTCCAAAACCTTCATTGTAGCTTCCCACTTGTCCACGTCTTCAGATCCAGTTAGGACTAAAGATAAACAAAAACCAACCACTTCAGCTCTGCTGACCGGCTGTGAGAACGTTTTTACTAGAGAATCTCAGAGATATTCCCTCCCTTCCTGCTCTTCAAGAGAACGTTACAACCAAGGCCAGATGTAGAAATTCAGCATATGGTGTAAGAATCTGGATAGACAGGGAGATAGAACAGGGGAAACTCAGGGGCATAAGAACTAACTGGTCTCTTCCATCAGGAAGAAAACACCAACTCAGCAGAAAGGTTAGACATTAGGAACTAAGCTGAGGTTACTTAGGCCTGGTCTACACTACAACGTTAGGTCGACGTAAGCTGCCTTGCATAAGCCTAGCTGTGCACGTGTCTATGCTTAAATTTGTCTCCCACCGACATAAGCTCTCCATTATGCCGATGTAGTGACTCCACCTCTCCAGGTGGCGTGGAGCCCTGGTCGATGTACTGAGGTCAACACAGCGTGAATGTAGACACCTATGATGTCCCCCAGCTGTTGTCCCAAAATATCCAACAGTGACCACTCCAGTCACAATTGTGAACTCCACTGCCCTAGGGGTCACGGAGTCCAGAAGTCCCATCACCCTTTAAAATCCCTGCAAACTTTTGAAATGCCTTTTCCAGACTGTCCATCTTGGGGAGCACACCTAGCAGTTCTCCACTGTTGACTGCAACTGCCTGGCTGATCATGCTGGTTATATGTTGCAGACGCATGATGGCCTGGAGTCGATCTCCTGGGCCTGTGGAGAGAAGAGGCTACGCAATCACAGCTATGGACCAGCCACAGAAACATGGACATCTACGAACACATCGCGCTGGGGTTGCAGGAAAAGGGGTATGCCAGCGATCAGCAGCAGCACTGCGTGAAAGTGAAGGAACTGCAGCAGGGATATCAGAAACCCTGGGAGGCCAACAGTCAATCTGGTACTGAGCCGCAGACCTGATGCTTTTGCAAACAGCTGCATGACATACTTGGTGAAGACCCCACTGACATCCCGCACAGCACCGGGGATACCTCGGAGAAGCCTGAGTCACAGGCCGCTGCGTGAAAGGAGGAGGAGGAGGAGGATCATAGCATTGTAGGACTGGAAGGGACATTGAGAGGATGGGGACATGCAACGGGGGTGATCCAGCTATGCTGAAAGTCAGGATCTGTTTGAGATTCCACCGCAATCCAGTCAGTCCCAGCAATCAAACATACGCAAGCCTGATGCCGGGAAAGGAACCTCAAGTAAGCATGTAAATTAATTTCCCATTACAATGATGGCACCCCCAACTTAGCAGGATATGTCTGTAACATTCCCCAGGGTGCAACCTGAACTGTTGTGTCCTCTTAGCTCTCTAGCCTGGGATGCCTTTTACATTGCTTTGCTAGTAAACAGCAAACTCCTACAGGCTCCGTTCACTCACAGCCCACCAGCATGCAAAAGTCACTCCCAGCTGAATACATAAATGATACGCCTTGCCATCCACGAATAGATACAGAGCAACACCCACATATCCCTCAATCCCAGCCTTGCCCCACAGAAATGTACATCTTGTACTGTTCAGCAGCCCACAAATTAGTCCATCATTCCAACAAAGGGTAATGAACATGCACCAGTCGTTTTGACCTGAGCTGAGATTTCCCAAACACTTCAATCACACACACTGGTTTAGATAAAACAATAAAACAAGTTCATTAACTTGAGAAAGATAGATTACGTGATTTACAAGTGATAAGGCATAAAAGTCAGAATTGGTTAAAAAAGAAATAAAAAGATAAACATGTAAGCTAATTCCTAAACTAATGCAAGCTAATTCCCAAGGCTAGTAAGTTTAAAAGCAAAAAGATTTCTCTCACCAAAAAGTTTTCAACAGTCTGTACTGGCGGAAAACTTCCAGGCCAGTACCACTCCCCCCAGTTCAATGATGAAAGACAAAAGGACAAGCGGGGGCTGGAGGGGAAGAGAGGTACCTAGAGGCATTTTTCCCCCTTATAAATCTGACCCTTTATACTGGAAAAGTCTTTGCTGGGTTATGGGGTCAGGCAGTTCTATGGCATAAGTGAGCTGCCAGTTATCTTTCAGGTGAATTGTAAATTTCGTATTCCCAACTCCCCTACTGGTGAATCTGTGATTAAGCATCAGAGGGGCAGCCATGTTAGTCTGTTTCCACAAAAACAACGAGGAGTCCGGTGGCACCTTAAAGACTAACAATTTATTTGGGCATAAGCTTTCGTGGGTAAAAAACCCACTTCTTCAGACGCATGGAGTGAAAATTACAGATGCAGACATAAATATACTGACAAATGGAGAAGGGAGTTACCTTACAAGTGGAGAACCAGTGTTGACAAGGCCAGTTCAGTCACTGTGGATGTGGTCCAACTCCCACTAATTGATGAGGAGGTGTCAATACCAAGAGAGGGAAAATTGCTTTTGTAGTGAGCCAGCCACTCCCAGTCCCTATCCAAGCCCAAATTAATGGTGTTACATTTGCAAATGAAATGTAGCTCTGAAGTTTCTCTTTGAAGTCTGTTTTTGAAGTTTTTTTGTTGAAAGATGGCTACTTTTAAATCTGTTATTGATGTCCAGGGAGATGTAGGAGTTTAGATACTTTACTGTCCTTTTCCCTCTGTAGAGAAGTAAAATGTGTGTTGTAAATGGCTTGTCTCGTTTTTGTAAAGTCCAGCCACATGGAAGTTTGTGTGGAAGGTCGGTTTTGTATGAGAGTCTCCAGTTTTGAGAGCTCATTCTTGATCTTCTCCTGTTTGCTGTACAGGATGCTGATCAGGTGGTTCCTCAGTTTCTCTGAGAGCATGTGGCACAATCTCTCACCATAATCAGTGTAGTATGTCGACTGCAATGGATTTTTTTACCTTCAGTCCATTTGGTATGCTATGCACAGGCTGAAATTGTGAACAAGCATCACTTGGCCCATAACCTCAGCCATACAGAACGCAACGCTGTCCACAGCCTCAGAAACAACTCTGACATTATAATCAAAGGGGCTTACAAAGGAGGTGCTGTAGTCATCATGAACAGGTCGGATTATGGATAGGAGGCTGCCAGGCAACTCTCCACCACCACATTTTACAGGCCACTATCCTCCGATCCCACTGAGGAGTACCAAAAGAAACTACACCATCTGTTCAAGAAACTCCCTGCTATAGCACAGGAACAAATCTACAGAGACACACCCCTAGAGCCCTAACCAGGGGTATTCTATCTGCTATCCAAGATCCAGGAACCTGGAAACCCTGGACGCCCCATCATCTCAGGCACTGGCACTCTTCTAGCAGGATTATCTGGCTATTTGGACTCTCTCCTCAGACCCTATGCTAACAGCACTCCTAGCTATCTTCGAGACACCACCGACTTCCTGAGGAAACTACAATGCATTGGTGATCTTCCCAAAAACACCATCCTAGCCACCATGGATGTAGAAGCTCTTTACACCAATATTCCACATGAGGATGGACTACAAGCTGTCAGGAACAGTATCCCTGATGAGGCCACAGCACACCTGGTGGCGGAGCTTTGTGACTTTGTCCTCACCCACAACCATTTCAGATTTGGGGACAACTTATATCTTCGAGTCAGTGACACTGCTATGGGTACCCGCATGGCCCCACAGTATGCCAACATTTTTATGGCTGACTTAGAACAACTCTTCCTCAGCTCTTGTCCCTTAATGCCCCAACTCTCCTTGCACTACATAGATGACATCTTCATCATATGGACCCACGGGAAGGAGGCCCTTAAAGAATTCCACCTGGATTTCAACAATTTCCACCCCACCATCAACCTCAGCCCACACAAGAGATAGTGTGGACAGTCCACACAAGAGATACACTTCCTGGACACTACAGTGCAAATGAGTGATGGTCACATAAACACCTCCCTATACCGGAAACCTACTGTGATAAATGGAGGGGGGAGGGGTAGCTTCCTTTTATGGACACCCAGCCAGCCAGTTAGCTATAAAGTCCCTCTTGGTTGCTGTTCTCTGCTTGCTTTACCTGTAAAGGATTAACAAAGTTCCCCAGGTAAAGGAAAAGGAGTGGGCACCTGACCAAAAGAACCAATGGGAGGGCTAGAACTTTTTTAAATGGGGGCGGGGGGGACTTCCCTTTGTTTTGTGTCTCTCCAGGAAAGAGGGGAAGATAGAGCAAAAGGAATGCTGTGTAAGGCTTGAACCTGAGGGAACTGGGGATGTTTAGTCTATGGAAGAGAAGAATGAGGGGGGATTTGATAGCGGCTTTCAACTACCTGAAAGGGGGTTCCAAAGAGGATGGATCTAGACTGTTCTCAGTGGTAGCAGATGACAGAACAAGGAGTAATGGTCTCAAGTTGCAGTGGGGGAGATTTAGGTTGGGTATTAGGAAAAACTTTTTCACTAGAAGGGTGGTGAAACACTGGAATGCGTTACCTAGGGAGGTGGTGGAATCTCCTTCCTTAGAAGTTTTTAAGGTCAGGCTTGACAAAGCCCTGGCTGGGATGATTTAATTGGATCGGTCCTGCTTTGAGCAAGGGGTTGGACTAGATGACCTCCTGAGGTCCCTTCCAACCCTGATATTCTATGATTCTATGAACCAAATATAAAAATTCATCCACCATACCTAGAAGAAATAATTTGGATAGGGAATGTTTAGTTAGATGCTATCAGGTTTATTTCTTATTTTGGCTTGTGGATCTCCTTTGTGCTAACCCCAGATGCTTTTGTTTGCTTGTAACCTTTAAGCCGAACCCCCAAGAAAACTATTTTGGGTGCCTAATTTTTGTAATTGTTGCTCTTAAGATCTAGCAAAAAGCCTAAGTTCCAAATGTATTTTTTCTCTTTTTGTTTTTAATAAAGTTTATCTTTTTTAAGAACAGGATAGGATTTTTGGTGTCCTAAGAGGTTTGTGCATGTTTTTGATCAGTTGATAGCCACAGCTAATTTCCTTTGTTTTTTTTTCTCAGCTATTCCCGGGAGGGGAGGTGAAAGGACTTGAGGGTACCCCACAGGGAGGTATTCCCAAGTGCTCCTTCCTGGGTTCAAAGGGGGTTTTTTGCATTTGGGTGGTGGCAGAGTTTACCAAGCCAAGCTCAGAGAGAAGCTGTAACCTTAGGAGTTTAATACAAACCTTAAGTGGCAAGTATTAATTTTTTAAATCCTTGCGGGCCCCCACTTCCTGCACTCAAGGTGCTGGAGTGGGGATTCAGCCTTGACACCCACTGACCACTATACTTACCTACATGCCTCCAGCTTCCATCCAGGACACATCACACGATCCATGGTCTACAGCCAAGCCCTAGTTTACAACTGAATTTGCTCCAACCCCTCAGACAGAGACAAACACCTACAATATCTTTATCAAGCATTCTTAAAACTACAATACCCACCTGGGGAAGTGAGGAAACAGACTGACAGAGCGAGACAGGTATCCAGAAGTCACCTACTACAGGACAGGCCCAAAAAGGAAAACAAAAGAACACCACTGGCCATCACGTACAGCCCCCAGCTAAAACCTCTCCAGAACATCATCAACAATCTACAACCTATCCTGGAAAACGATCCCTCACTCTCACAGACCTTGGGAGGCAGGCCAGTCCTCGCTTACAGACAGCCCCCAACCTCAAGCAAATACTCACCAGCAACTACACACCACACCATAGAAACACTAACCCAGGAACCAATCCCTGTAACAAACCCCGTTGCCTACTTTGTCCCCATATCTACTCTAACACCACCATCAGAGGACCCAACCACACGAGCCACACCATCAGGGGCTCATTCACCTGCACATCTACTAATGTGATATGTGCCATCACGTGCCAGCAATGCCCCCCTGCCATGTACATTGACCAAACCGGACAGTCCCTAGGTAAAAGAATAAACGGACACAAATCAGACATCACAAATGGTAACATACAAAAGCCAGTAGGAGAACACTTCATTCTCCCTGGACATTCAGTAACAGATTTAAAAGTAGCCATCCTTCAACAAAAAAAACTTCAGAAACAGACTTCAAAGAGAAACTGCAGTGCTACAATTCATTTGCAAATTTAACACCATTAATTTGGGCTTGAATAGGGACTGGGAGTGGCTGGCTCACTACAAAAGCAATTTTCCCTCTCTTGGTATTGACTCCTCCTCCTCAATTACTGGGAGTTGGACCACATCCACCGTGACTGAACTGGCCTTGTTAACACTGGATCTGCACTTGTAAGGTAACTCTCTTCTCTTCATTTGTCAGTATATTTATGCCTGCATCTGTAATTTTCACTCCATACATCTGAAGCTTATGCCCAAATGTTAGTCTTTACTGTCTTTAAGGTGCCACACCTGACTCCTTGTTGTTTTTGTGATTAAGCAGTAATGGCTCTTTAGCACCTTGCTGGAGTGCAAGTGTGTCTTTGTCTCTGAAAGATGAATTTGAGACTGCTTTTCTAATATTGTAACATGTTACAGTAAAGGTCTCATACCTTTATATGCAAAATTGCTACACATTTTACCAGGATAATAATATTCAGTAGATTATGAGTTTTTAAATGATACCTCACAAGGCATACTTTGTACAAAATATATCATAATCATATTAAAGTGGTGAACATGGGGTACAGGGTGTCGCAACTTTTCATTAAATTTACTCGTACTAGAAGAGGTAGTGGTACAGCAAAGAGAGGTTGAGCTGTTACCTGCTTGCCATTTCCCTGTAGTGTTAGGTCGGGGCACAGGCATGCAGAGCAGTTTATGTGTACAGGGATGTCCCTGGAATCCTCCCAAGAGATCTTAGTGAAATTTCCATGGAGGTTCTCTGCAATCCTCTGCCGAAAGTTTTTAGCAAGGGCTGCCTTATTTCTTCCTCTACAGTGGGACACTTTCCCATGCCAGTCAGTGATCACTGCAGCAGGCACCATTGCAATAAACAGGCTAGCAGTATGAGAGCCCTGGTGGCTCTAGGACACTAGAGGCAGCTGTGCTCTCTGTGCCTGTGTTTCCCCAGGAGTGACAGATCTGCTAAAATCACCCCTGTCTGTGAAAAATGGTGCAAGTTGTGATACTTCACCCCATATTATTCATAGGGATATTATTATTATATGATTATGGCATAATTATGATACGTGTCCCATCTTGTACAAAATGCAAGGGGACATTGGAAAAGTTATGATTTGCTGAATATGTTTATCCTATTTGTGTGCATGTACCATTTTTGTATCTGGACTTATGAATAGTGACTATGTATCTGTATTTCACATATAGTCAAACCGGGGTGACACCCACTAGGCAAGATGCTTCTGTCTAAATAGCTGGTTGTGAAGGGCCCATTAACTGTAATGGCCCATTAGGTAAAACAATAGGCCTTAGAAGAAGCTTATCATAGAATATCAGGGTTGGAAGGGACCTCAGGAGGTCATCTAGTCCAACCCCCTGCTCAAAGCAGGACCAATCCCCAATTTTTGCCCCAGATCCCAAATGGCCCCCTCAAGGATTGAACTCACAACCCTGGGTTTAGCAGGCCAATGCTCAAACCACTGAGTTATTCCCCTCCCCCCCCCGAGCTATCCCTCCCCCGCACCTTGTGAGCCTTCCTGTGGCCAGCCTGTGAGTAATGGCTGCTATGACTCTGCAAGGGCATGTGACCAGCCCACATGATGCTGATATGGGTTTCTCCCAAGCAGCGCAGACAATCTGCGTGCAGGTCACTCCTTGGCACGCAGCGCCTACAAAAGCCGCACGACTTAAAGTCTGGGGCGCAGGGCATGCCCTGGCCCGGGCTTAATGACCAACTAAATTAACTGAATTAGCTAACTAATTGCATGTACTACTGAACAAACCAAGAGTTCTGGTGACGAGCTGCAGCAAAGCTGGAGCTGAGCAGTTCCGACGCACCTTCACTGGCGGCAAGAAGGAACTGAGAGTGGGGGAAGCGCAGACCCCTCATACCACGCCAGGCAGGTGCCGCGGGGGGGCCCTCCCCCGTACGGGTACTGCTAGGGGAAAAACTTCCGGCACCAGTGCACATGAGGAGCACGCACACCTATTGTAGAATACACATGAGCAATCACTCGAAGAAGAACTAACAATTCAAACCTGGAACACCAATTTCCGATGTACCACAACTTTGAGTCAACTCACAAAAACTAGCCTGTACCAGGAACCACCCCAGAACAGAGTAAGAGATGAGCATTTCCAAGTGAAGATTCAATAGATTCTACCCAGAATCTCCTACCTTCAATACAGTCTCGGATATAGACAGGAGCTTTCATCTTCTTCAGCTCTTTATCCTGGGACATGTCATGAGGGATGAGGTCATCATCGCTGTGAAAGAAGCATAGGCATGAATTAGTTCATGTGGATTCGACCATGTCACCTTCTCCTCCTTCATGCTAAACGGACAGGACACATTCTCCTCCCTCCTCACCTTTCCATCCTTACACCAAACAGAGGTTGCTCGAAACCCCAACCTACAAGGATCCAGCAGAAGCATTGGTGACCAAGTGTTGAGGACGGTGAGATGGACAGAGCTCTGCAAATCCGTGAATATCCATGGACCTTTCCTGCAGATAGTGGAGCGGATGCGGATACAACCGCGCAGGGCTCTAAAGATCTAATACTCCTTAACTGCTGTGCTGATGGGCAGGGAGGCATGTAAAATAGGTAAACCCTTTCCTGCACTTCCCTAAACACATCAACCAGTGGAGCTCAGCAGCTCATGCAAAGCAGAAACAATGTTACTGTAACAAGGGAGAAACTGGTCAGGAAGAAGCCCTGCCTCTGTCACCAGTGGTGCCTGGCCTGCGTTGTCCAGCTCGGGCAGCCCAGTGGCAGCCAGTGGCTGGACAGCAGGCTGGAGTCGGGGCTGACCAGCACCCATTTGCCATGCCGTTTCCCATACAGCGGCTCTGGCCCCACAGGGAAGGCCAGCATCCCCACCGTGGCCTGGCCCGGCAGCACTGACTGTGCTCTCGGCCCACTGGCTCCCGGGCAGCAGGGCCCTCCCCCGGCCATGGGGATTGGAGCGAGCAAGCGGGGCCCCAGCACCCCACCCCTCCATTGCTGCTTCCGGGTGCTGTCGCTCGCGAGCCCGGGAGCAGCATGCGATGTGACACCCCTTCCCCGCCCCCACCAACCCCCTGCGCCGCCCCTTCTCCTCGAGACCCAGCCCCCATGCCACCCCTTACCCCCAGTCCCTGCCCTCACGCTGCCTCTTCCCTGCAAGACCCCGTTCCTCCACTTGCTCATCTCTGGCTCCCTCCCGGCCGCCCCTCCCTAGCCCTTGTGAGACAGCTTGCTGCTGTGGGTATGGATTGCGGATAGAAGTAAAAGCCTGCTAGCGGATTGCAGGTTGATCCTGGCAGATGCAGATCCACATTTTTGTATCGTATCATAGGACCATGTGAATACTATGATTCGTCTAGCCCAGTATCCTGTCTTCTGACAGCGGCCAATGCCAGATGCTTCAGAGAGAATGAATATGGGAAGAGTCTATGTGCAGCATGACCACTGAGTCTTTGGTAAGTCACTCCCCCAAATTGTGCCTCAGTTTCCCCCATTTATATTCACTGACATCAGACAAGTGTTTGGGAGGTTTAATTTGTTTAATATTTGTAGTGTGCTTTCAAATCGCCCTATTTCCCTTGCTCTCAAACCAGCTGCCCTCAGTGATGGAGATCAGCACTATGCTCATCAGGTTCAGGGGAATATTTGGTCATTGAAAAAACCTTTTTAAACACCCTTGTGAAGCCTTTTCAGGGAAGGCTTTGATAATTGGAAGCCCCACCAATGAGCTAGGCTTTAACATTCTTGCACTACAGGCAGCAGAGATAGTTACAGGACAAGGCTAAGGAGCATGAAGTCACTGTGAAACTTAGTTCCTCTTCAGTGCCCACAATTTAACAGCACCCTCCTCTTAGAGCAGTTCATGGACTCTCCTCACTCAGAATGGAGCCAATTCCATGCCAGATAAAACACCTCACTATTTTCCCTCTATTTTCTTAGTGAAAGAAAATGAAGGTGTACACTTTAGAGGAGACTTGAACAGAGTCTCTGAAGACAGCTTACCAAGCATATGCACCTTGATTTGGGGGGGCTGTCAGAACAATTTTATCCACTAAGATTCTAGGCTCCCATTCAGATCCACAGCTTATTATGAACTGGCCAAAATAATAAATATACAGGACCAATATAGCAGCTTCCGTGGAAGGTTCTCAAGCACGTTACAAAGATGCAGTCACTGACTCTCACAACACCCTTGTGAAGTAGACAAGCCCCAGTAGACAGAGACAGCCAGAAGGGCAAATGGCTACAGATCTCAACTAGCCAAAACAGGCAAATGCTTCAGCTAGAGAGCAACTCCCCGAACCAACAATCTACAAGACTCAAGTAGCAAATATATTACCACCATATATGATAGACTAGAACATGTCCACTAATAAAATGGGCAGCCTGATAAACAAACATATAAGGTCTGAAGGATGCAGTGGAATCAGGACAATCTGCAGGGCAATGGGTGTCTAAACAAGTTAAGTGAAACAAACACAAATAGCAAAAACAACAACACAGGCAGCAAAACTACAAAGTAAACCCATATCCTGGAATGCTGATCCGCACTTAGAGCCCTGCCAGAGGCCTGTCTAGAAATGTCAGGTCCAGGTCAGAAAACAACCAGGCCCACTCAGGCTTGGGTCGGCTCTCCTTCTCTGGCCCATGGGGTGGGCACTGTGGTCACTTACATACCCACTATGGCAGTGCATGGAGCTGTTGCACACAACTCCCACTGGGGCGACATTACAGGTTTGGGGAGAATGGCTGGGTTGGGCTGGAAAACAACTTGGGCTCCTTGGGCTTGGGTCCGATTTGGGTGTAAAAATTAGGCACGAGCACACCTGTATCTGCAATTACCCTTTACACACAGCCTGGTTTGCTCCCCAATTCAGATTGTGGAGTACAGCCTCTCTCTCACACAGTCAGCTTTCAAGGACCTGTCATTTACTTTCTACCTCAAATCAGCTTTTTGCTTAGTAGTTTAGTTCTTGCACATACCTGTCGAGCTCCAAGTCAGATCCGTCCTCTGGCACTGCAGGGGCTACTGGGTATGGGTTCCCACTTGGTTTTGACACAGCTTTTGGTGTAACAGATGAAATGTCACTCCTGCTTTTGGCAATGAAAAAGTGTCAAAGGCATAAAGTAACAAGGATCTTAAAAATCCATGATCACAAGTAGGAGTCTAGATTTTCCAAGGTAACGCCCCCAATCCACACACCCACACCATCTACAGTAGGCATTGGAATCTCATTTCAGTGTGGGTTCACTTAGGATGGTCCAGCTAAGAGGAGAAAAGGCTAGAGTAGCTGTACAGGTGTGGGGAGACCTCATCATGATGGGGGGGGGGGGGAGTGGAGATGGCAGACAGCATGAGCTAATTCCCTAGTCTATCACCTGAGCTTGTTTTAGTTCCTAACAAAGATTAAGACTGTGCTAATCGACAGAACCCAAAACATTCTGGGTAAGGGCAGACACACAGTCATCTCAGGGCACAGGAAGCATTGGCCTGTGTATTCTTAAGAGCTATGAAAACCATGAACAAATCAGGAGGCACCATTCAGTAGTGGTTAATATACAAGACAGAGTCAGGACATCTGAGCTCTTCACACAGCTCTAACAGCAATTTGCCATGTAGCCTTGGGCATATCACTTTCACCTCTCCACTTCTCAGTCACTATTTCTACCTCATAGTAGCATTGGGAAGCATCACTCACTGACCTCTGTAAAATGCTTTGAGATCTTCAGACAGCAAATGCCATGGAAGGTCAGAGTATAGACATAAGTTAATGCTATATTTCAGTTAGCAATGGACAGGCTGTCGACACATAGCTCCCAGTCTACTCTGAGGTACCCAAAGATTCCCCAGACCATTTGGATCATTTCAGGGGCACACAGAATTACAAGAATCCCAAGGAAATGCAGCCATCTGACACAATTCTAAAACATGCTTCCATTTGACCTCTGAACTAGAAACATGCTGGCTGCAGAGAGATAACCAACTGTAATGCAGAGCACGGTGAAGATTACAGCAATTTACACCTTAGTGGATTCTAATTACAGACTTCCTGCCTGCAGAGCTGGGACTGTCCGTCTGGAGTTTACCATCCACCAATGTGAAAGGATTATAGTGTCAGAGGTAGGCCCTGACTTTATAACCTTTACTAAGAATGATTTGCCTGGTATCGGTGCTCACAAATTTTCACACTAGGCAGATATATGGCTATGAGTGGCAATCTCACCCAGCATTTGGCACGTCAGTGACAGGGAGTTGTTGTGGTGCTGTCTGCTTCAGGAGAGACTTTAGCTCTCTGGTCTCATCATCATCTTCATACTAGACATGCAAAATAGAAGTCACTGTATGCAGAGGAGGCTTTTATGTGGATTAAATACAATAAATCTGTAGCAGTTGAAGGCTATGGGAGCTCAGCACCTCTCAGAATTAGGCCTTAATTTTTAAACAGTGAAGGATTAAATGATAAATGCATGTGGAGATTTGCAATCTCAGCCATATGCACCTTTCACACTGGACTCAGGATATACAAGTTATTGCTTGGTCAGACTTGGTCTCAGGGTTATTTATAATCTATAAAGCATTTAACAAACCTGAAGTCACAATGCAGCACTACAGCTGATGCTGTGCAAACAACACTTAGCTGTGTGGCTTAATTCCCATTGAAATGAATGGGAATTGTGTGACTAAATTCCCTACTCAGTCTTGAAAAATCACAACCACCAATGACTTTACACACACCCCTCTTTTTTTCTTTTTCTTTTTTGGATTCATAGATATTAAGGTCAGAAGAGACCATTATGATCATCTAGTCTGACCTCCTGCACAATGCAGGCCACAGAATCTCACCCACCCACTCCTGTGATAAAACTCTCACCTATGTCTGAGCTATTGAAGTCCTCAAATCGTGGTTTAAAGACTTCAAGGAGCAGAGAATCCTCCAGCAAATGACCCGTGCCCCATGCTACAGAGGCAGGCGAAAAACCTCCAGGACCTCTTCCAATCTGCCCTGGAGGAAAATTCCTTCCCAACCCCAAATATGGCGATCAGCTAAACCCTGAGCACATGGGCAAGATTCACCAGCCAGATACCCAGGAAAGAATTCTCTGTAGTAACTCAGATCCCACCCCATCTAACATCCCATCACAGGCCACTGGGCCTATTTACTATATTTAAAGATCAATTAATTGCCAAAATTATGTAATCCCATCATACCATCTCCTCCATAAACTTATTGAGTTTAATCCTAAAGCCAGATAGGTCTCTTGCCCCCACTGCTTCCCTTGGAAGGCTATTCCAAAACTTCACTCCTCTGATGGTTAGAAACCTTCATCTAATTTCAAGTCTCAACTTCCCTTCTGGATGTTCATCCCAGTTTTAGGACTCTAATCAACTCCCACTGAAGGGGATTTCAATGGGATACCACCCATTGATCAGGTGCTGCATGATATGGAAATCTAGCAGTAGTTTTAATTTTGGAGCTGGCCATCCTAAACCCTGTTGTCATGTCAGAGTTCTCTTGGACTCTGCCTCACTGTGACCAAATCCTCCTGAGGTGTGTGCTCTCTCTCTCTCACCACACCCCCATGCACCTCTCACCTTGCACCTGCCCACATCCTCTATGCTGCCTTTGCATCTTTTCAATGCAATTCCATTTTGCAAACTGATATCCCCTCATTCTGAGGGGTATTGGTGCTCCTCTTTCCTTCCAGAGAATAGGGGTCAGCAATGACAGCAGCAACACAACCATCTGCTTTAAAGGGGACATTTCTCCCCATCCCTGCACAGCAGAGACAGACATCACTATAGTCTCACCTGGAATTTCAGACTGGGCCCATCTGCAGTTATTCTGGCACTGATGCTTTCTGCCACGATCATTCCCAGACGCCGAACCCGTGGCAAGTTGCTGTCCAGGTGGCATTTCATCCCTCCCATCATGCTGGTGAGAAGCTCTGAAAGAACAAGCAGCACATGGCAGAGTGAACACAGCATCCCTGGCTATGGCAGCTCCCCGATAGCACACCCAGCTGAGAGCCCAAATCTTTAGCTACACAGCTCCAACTACAGGCAGAAAGACAGACAAAGGGTCAGGGGTGGAGGCTGACACAGATTCTATACAGCAATTCTCTTTCTGCAGAGTTGTTTTCTTTCCCCATCATGTCAGGAAGGCATGCAGCAGGGCTAGGTTTTGAAGCCAAAAGACAATGGTACAAACATCACACATCCTAGAACATTTGTTTTAATAAAACAGTTTACCAAAATACCAAAAAAGAGTGTTAGGCCAAGTTAATCCCAGGCATAAATTCAATGGCTTCAAAACTGCTGTGACAGATGAAATGGGCTGACTGTGTTATTATGGAAATTGCATCCATTTTGATCGGTGCAGCAACCTGGAACTCACACAGGGAGGATTATTTTTCACCATGTGCCTGAGCTATGACAGGTAATTAATTTCTGAACCCATTGTTCAGAGTGGCAGCTGTCTTTCATCTCTCCAGATAGATTCTGACTGCTGACAGGTTGACCATTATTCACCAATAAAAGCGGACATCTCTCTAACAACAGCCAGTGAAAAATCTGATCATTCATTAACACACCATAGTTAGTATCTATACAAGGCCAGGCTTTAAAAGAAGAATCTTGGGTTGGCTGGAATGAAATAAACTTGTTTTCTAATAAATAATAATAAATAGGATTTATGTTTTCAAAGCACTGCATGAAAGTTAATTCACCCGCTCAAGAGCCCCTTGGGTGGTGGGTGAATTATCATTTATTATTTGTATTGTGGTAGCACCAGAAGCCCTAGTCCTGAACCCAGACCCCATTATGCTGGGCGCTGTTCAGACACAGAGTGAAAAAATGGTCCCTGCGATCAGACAAGAGATAACAGGTTGATACAGACAAACAACGAGAGAGACCAGTCAGCATGATAGGCTGCGTCTCAGCACACCAGCAGCCTGACCGTTATTAGTAACTGTCTATGTAATTTTGTTACTTAACAAATATTAATGTAATTTGCAAAGAGGGATCAGAGATGACTTATCCAAAGTCACAAAGTAAGTGTAAGGGCTGGGAACAGAACCCAGGAGTGTTTGACAGCACTATTGCTGCAACAGGTCTCCAGGAGTTCTTTCAGCACCTGGTTCTGAACTGCCAGTGTCTGCTTTAACCATTAGGAAGCACACCTTATCTTAAGCCAGACAGAACATAGCATGCTGAAGAGCAGCACAATGAAGAGCTCTTTCTCTGCCATACATACATCTAACAGGCTGAATGAGTTAATCTACATCAGTCACTGGGTTTAACAAAACATGAGTCATCATACTAGTAGAATCACACAATCAAGGTTTCCCACTCTAAAACAGAGCATCTCCCTGTTGCCTTGCCATTATGACATTATGCTATGATTATGTTCTATATTTCCATGCCCCCATAACCCATATCTGAATTAAACCAGAGTAGATTATGGTTCAGGAGAAGGACAACAGTCCTGGCTAAGACTGAAGAGTGGGAGTCTGAAGGCCTGAGTTCCATTTCTTACAGCAGATCCTCTCTCCAGGACCTTGAGAGACAGGAAGGATGTGATGTGCCCAACTGCTCCTTCTCAAAAATCTATGCACCCTACCTCATCACAGAAATGTTCTGAAGATTAACCAATCAATGATTCAAAATGCTATGAGGTCCTCAGAAGAAGGTGCTACAGATGTTCCTATTGCTAGTCAGCATCTCTGACACTGAACTTTCATACTGGTGTTAACAAATTATCTCATTTTTTCAGCAAGGCAGCAGCCTTCCTTAGCCTCCATAGAGTCCAAATCCAAGGCTTTGTTTCAAAATCATCCTGCACTATAAATACTCGTATCACAGCAGGATTTTCATGATTTTCCAGACTTCAGAATTTGTGGCTTTCAGTTATTCGGAGATTAAGATAAGGTTCCAAAGTGAAAAATGCACTGAGGAGAAATTGGTTAGGCCCTGATCCTCTAGACAGTTACACACATAAGCAGCATCACTCACATGAATAGCCTCACTGAATTCAGTGGGAGTACTCAAATGATCAGAGCTTGGGTTTGTTTGCAGGATCAGGCCTGCAGGATGTGGAGACAATGGTTATGAGTAGGGGCTTCAAGGACAGAGGACTAAGGAGGGGAAAATTTAGAATACAATGGAGGGAAGGAGACCTCTTTGTTCTTTCCTCTCCTTCCCTCCTCCCTCACCTTGTCCGTTGCTCTCTATTTCAGGCTCCTTCAGGTGGGAAAGGCAGATCAGGATGGCCTTGCTAACGTACAGTTGTTGCTCAACTGGAGAGTGTTTCACAGCACTGCTGCTGCCCCAGGTCTCCAGGAGTTCTTTCAGCACCTGGTTCATAAGTTTACAGCATTAGCTAGATGGAATGGGTCTGGGCTGCATCGGAAAGTCACTCTCTCACAAACACACACCACACCCTTAACCAGCCAGGTGGCCTAAGGACTATTCTATCCTTCACTCAGCATAATCAGTCCCTGTAAAGTGTGATGGCCTCTTGCCTAGGTGTAGGGCTCCAGCTCTCCACTGAGAGAATTTTTGTGGCAAGGGTCCTGAATTCCATGGCACCCTGGTGCCACTGGCTGGAAATTCCATGTCAGCTCTGGTTAAATTAAATAATGGAGGTTTTAAATTCAATAGGACAATGACTAATGCAGTCACTGAAGAAAGCCTGGGGTTATCGATTTTTACATTACATTCTATTTATTTTATGCTTACCCCAAAAGAACTCCCAGTGTGCTGAGACTTTTGAGCTGTATGGAGGCGAAGCGTCCCCTCCCCTTTGTGTACAGGGCAGAGGCAACTTAAAATTTTTGGCAGGGAAAGGAACTTTAACAACTAGCTTCCTAAACTAGTAACGAGCAGCCTCTCTGCTACCTGCATTCTCGATCAAACACACAGGACTGATCTCTGATACCCAACATCTGAACATTCCAGTCATAGCCCAATTGAGGTCAGGCCGTCATGGACATTGCTATATATTAACTGACCAAAATCACAGTTATGCGCTTCAGTGAAAAGAAGGAAGTGGAACAAAACAGTCTAAGAGATACAACAGTTACAAAAGGGGAAAATCAGTCCCCCTACATCACAGCAGAATCTCTCCATTCAGAGCCATTCACCAGTGCTTCATGTGGTGATCAAGAATATTTTAAAGCAGTAAGAGGTACTCCTTCACCTCAGAATAGTAGCTCACTGCCTCCCCTGTGTTGGCTAAAATTCTTTTAATGGATTGCCACTGTCTGAAGGAAAACATTTTAAAAAAAAACTTAAATCATAGAACTGGAAGGGACCTCAAGTGGTCATCTAGCCCACTCCCCTGCACTCAAGACAGGACTAAGTATTATCTAAACGACCCCTTACAGGCGTTTGTCCAACCTGCTCTTAAAAATCCCCAATGATGGAGATTCCACAACCTCCCTAGGCAATTTATTCCAGTGCTTAACCACTCTGACAGTTAGGAAGTTTTTCTTAATGTCCAACCTGAACCGCCCTTGCTGCAATTTAAGCCCATTGCTTCTTGTCCTATCCTCAGAGGTTAGGAAGAACAATTTTTCTCCCTCCTCCTTATAACAACCTTTTATGTACCTGAAACCTTATCATGTCCCCTCTCAGTCTTCTCTTCTCCAGACTAAACAAACCCAATTTTTTCAATCTTCCCTCATAGGTCATGTTTTCTAGACCTTTAATCATTTTTGTTGCTCTTCTCTGGACTTTCTCCAATTTGTCCACATCTCTCCTGAAATGTGGCACCCAGAACTGGATACAATACTCCAGTTGAGGCCTAATCAGCGTGGAACAGAGTGGAAGAATTACTTCTTGTGTCTTGCTTACAATACTCCTGCTAATATATGAACTAAAAAGAAGAGCTAAGAGAAGTTTAGTATAAGAAGGGCTTATTAGAAACACCAAGAAAATTATGTTTAGCCTTTCATTTGGAGAGAGCCCAGAGAGTTCTCTGATGTTGTGCCCTAGAAAATATGAGTATGATCCTACAGTTAGAGCCTAGGGCTGGGTCTGAGGACTCTTGGGTTTTATTTCCAACCGTCATTGACTCGCTCTCTTTGGATAAGTCACTTCAAATCACTTCTCCCCCTCCCCCATCTATAAAATGGATCTATCTCACAGGGGAGTTGTGAGGCTTGGGGATCCACAGATGTGAGATGCTACAGAAGTACAATGTATCATTAGAAGCTCTGGGAGGACTGTGGCCTGTTTAAGTGGGATGGCAACTCTTCCTTCATTCTGAGCCACATTTCCTTCCTTTTCCATTCCCCCTTCCTTCTCAATGTTCCTTGGTGGCCATCTTACTACTTTTCTAGAGATGAGACAGAATGACAGTGATTCCTATGAAGAGGACTTCTCTGCTACACTTTAATGAGGCCAGCAGCTCTGTCCAGGACCACCATGGGGGCATTCTTTATCACCCCATTCACACAGGTGACCCTCATTATCAGCTTCATCGAACAGCACTGAAGCGTCACAGATACTGGAACAAAATGAGGGTTCCGGAGTAAAAATTCCAACCTAAATATATATCACTGAAAGTACCTAACTTACTTTGATCAATAAGGAACGTCGAAGGCTGTCTAGGGCCAGGTATCCAAGGAGATTCTGTAGCATTGCAGTCTACAATGAAAACAGTAGGATTAGTTATACTGAGCAGAAAGTTACTCATCAGCAAGGACTTTACACACTCACTCTCTCTCCCCATCCACCCCCCCATTCCGAGTGATTTGATCAGAATGTTCAGGGACCAAAGATTGTGCAGAGTTTATGCAAACCCACATCACTCTTAGGAAAGTTAGAGCATATTACTGTGCCTGGGTATTTCAGTGCCCAAATTATTTCAGATCACACGGTTTCAGTGATGTCTACGGCACCCAAGAGAGGGTTCCCGCTAGTAAAAACTCCACTGAACCAACCCCTGCACAGCAAGTCTTATTTAAAATATTGCTCCTACTATTAAACAAAAGAAACATGTGAAGTCAGGGAACCTTGTCCTTCCCTTTGTTGAAGTCTTGTGCCTCTCTCCCACCCACAATCTAGTTAACGTTCAAGGTGCTCCAGAACATAAGGCAGAGCACAATCTTCACATGGGCTCTAGTGCTCACCCACTGCCCTGTTTCACTTCCACATCATTTCTCTCCAACATCTGAGGATACAGATAATTCCAAATCAAACTCGGAGCTCTTCCAGTGCACTCCTCCTCCCTGTCCTCTTTGGGGGATGAGGTCAAGCATGCTCCCAGCCTCTCCCCCTGGATTCTAGATGGGATCAGGGCCTCTACCTCCCCAGACTGCTGATGTCACATGCAAATCCTCCCTTGGTTCCTAGGAGGAAAGGTGACAACACTGCTGGTCACCACAGATTGACTTACAAGGCAGAATACAAACCTAGTGTCTTGAAAGGGACCACCTGGTCTGCCTTACTGGACAGGGAGAAGTTATAGAAATCTTCAGCCAAGGTCCAAGTATATGTGAGGAGTAGGGAATCTGGGGAAAGGCTTCAGAATAAATCCCACAACCAGAGACCTGGAGCTTACCTGGACAAGAATTCAGCACTTTGAAAAACGTTGGCCTTCCTAACAGCTAGGATGGCTTACATTCCCCATATTGACACAGCAGAGCCCTTACCGCGTAGCTGTACTGCAGGAGTAGCAGCTTTTGGGTCACCACAAATTGAGCTTTCTTGTTTTTCAGAACCAGATTCCCCAGTAATCGAGACAAGACATCCGCCCTAGCAAGACAGGTCAGCAGCAAACTATCAGGGATCCATTTATCTGAACTGCTTCAGGCTGATTTCAATCTTATCATGATTGTATAAGTGGCTGCCCATTTGCAATATAATCAAAAGTCGTAGATCAGTCAAACAGCCTTCCACGTGGTAGCAGTGCATGGAAGGCTGTTTGACAACTACAGAAGTGATTAATAAGGCAAAAAGATCCAGTGCTGTCTGAAATGGTGTCGAAGGATTAGCAGTGAAGGAATCCCCAGCTATTCCAGTCCCAACCTTTCCCAGGAAGTGGCACCATGTAGAATGATGGCGCACAGGCTGAGAACCTTCAAGAACGAACGTATAGGTGTTTATACACCTGAGGGAATTATGCACCAAAAAATTAAAAATTATCCGCACAATATTTTAAATTTCTGCAAATTTTTTTTCCCTCAATAACTAAATGTGGCTCCAGAATGGCAGTGGGGAGCACAGACTACTGGCTGCATTGAGGTGGGAGATCACCCTGAAGCCCACACCTCCTCCAGTACAGGGACTCGGCAGTGAGGCTGCACCTGACCCTGACACAGTGCAAGGACTGGGCCTGTCCCAGAAACACCCCAGGGCCCTACCCCCCTGTACCGGCGCACCAGGTGTGGCTGGGCAGGCTCAGCCCAACCAGATCCAAGTGTGGAGGGATGCAGGTGTGCAGTGAGAGGTTTCTGTGTGGGGCAGTCTGGGTGCGGGTAAGCTCAGTGGGAGATCTGGATGCACAGGGACTCGTGGGGTGCAGGGGGCAATGGGACTCTACAGGGGATCCAGGTGATGGTGGTTGGGCTCAGTGGGGAGGTCTGGGTGTGGCGAGATGGGACTGGGGGGAGAGGTGGTCCAGCTGCTTGGGGCTCAGTGGGGTGGGGGTCTGGGGGGCTTGTTGGATGGGTGTAGGGGAGTGGGGCTTGTCAGGGTGAGGGTTCGATGGGCCTGCTTAATGGGGGATCCCCAGCTGCTGCCGAGGGGATGCCACATGCCAGGCTCCTGCTTCCCCCCCGCGCTTCCCCATTCCCTTTTCTTCTCCAACCCCCTCCCCTCACTCCCACATTCCCCTCCCTCTCCCCTATTCCACCCCCCCTTCCTTCCCCACTGCCTCTTCTCCCCACCCCCCCTTACCCAGCCCCAACACAGGCACTCACTGTTCCACAGAAAATGGAAAGGGTGCCAGCACACAGAAGAGGAGCACAACTAGCACTAGGACCCAGGAGGCTGTGTTCTGCTGCAGAGTCAGCGGAGCCCCAGACGCAGCCTCTGAGCTGGGCAGCTCTGCGTTACCAGAAATGGGGGTGGGGGCAGTGGCATGTAACCCCGTGTGCCCCCCAGGCCTCACCTCTATTTGGGGAGCAATCCCCCCCCCCAAAAAAAACTGCATACATGGTTGCCCCCCACCCCTCCCCAGCTTCCCTTTGCTTCCCCGCTGTTTTCTGCAGGGAAAAGCAGGAAATCTGCAGAGAGGCTGTTTTCTGCGGGCGCACAGTTCCGCAGAATCCCCCCAGGAGTAAGGTGTAGCTAGAACAACTACTTCCCTCTCCCCACAAATCTTGATTTCTTACCCTGGTGCTTTCTGAACAAAGCCACAAACCACTGCTTCCATCCAACGATCTGGCACACACTCGACCAGTCGCCAGCACATCCTCTGCCAGATGCAGTCCACCTTGGTGAGATCCATTAGGCGTGGTACCAACATATTCAGAATTTCTTCTGTATTGGGACAGAACAAAAGGAAGCTCACTGATTGGAGGGAGCTGGGGCAATAGCCCACTACATAATCCATATAGATGGTTTGCAAAATCAAGCTGCTTACAGAGAGATAAACATGAAGACAATGCCCTTTCCAACACAAGTTTGCCCCTAATGATTCAGCACCTACAACACACAATTCTTTTCACAGGTATGCCCTGCCTGCAGGTTCACCTGGCCTTTTACTTGTAGCCCTAGTAGCTGTGACACAGGCAGACCAGGTGTCAGCTCATGCCAAGGCACACAGGTATCCACTGAACACTGGTTCCAGCTATGTATTTGTCAGTCTGGTTCACCTGTGTGTTAGTATTGTTCAAATAGGTATTAGAATTATAAGAATGTGTTTAGTGTGGTATGCTTATAAGAAGCATACGGGATTTTCTTTAGGGGAAAAGGCAATATGCCATGTTTACTGAAGATACAACAATTAGCATATGCATTTAATTACACCACACAGACATACATACAGTTTTGCCAGTGAAAGGGACTTTAAAAAAGCTAAAGCAAATAGCAAAATAAATGTTTATAAAAAATGATGTTAAAACGTGTGCGAAATTGTGTGCGGTACGCTCAGGACAAGGCTCGTCCTCTGCATTGACAACCCATGATGCACCAACAAAGGCTTGGGCCGTGGCACAGAGCTCAAATTAATTTTATTAATAAATTGCCAAGAAGTAAGGAAGGATTCCAAAGTTTATTAGTAATAATTAATTCCTTTTCAAAATGTGTGAAGTCATTTCCTACTAAAAATAATAGCAGCAGGGTAGTGGCCAAAGTTTTTTTAATAAAGTAATATGTAAATATGGCACCCCCAAAATAATAAATTCTAATAATAAGGGAGCCTTTGTTAAAAATAAAATCTTTACAATAATAATACAAGCCTTGGAAATTAAACAAAAGCTCCACATACCATACTGGCCTCAGTCCAAGGCACTATTAAAAAATTGCTCCAAAAAATAGTAAATCACACACTCACAAAAAATACCTGGCTAAATAAACTGCCTCTAACTTTGGCTGCCATCCACAGCAGCTAAAAACAAAAATTTAACCCTTTCAAATTCTGTTTGAACATTCAATGTGCCTAATAATTAATTCTAGTTACCGAATACAGAATAATAAAAAAAAAAAGCTCTAATATAATATAATAGCATAATTATTTTCAACGGCTCAAACAATTACAAAAAAAATAAAACCACCCTCCAGTAAAGGGTTAATCAGGCCATCGAACACATAAACAACAAAATTCAAAAACAAAGGCCCACAAAGGCAGCCTTGTAAAAAAACCAGGGAACCAAGTCAGGTACCTTAAAATAAAAAAAAGGGGTCACTCACTAAAATCAAAATGAATAGGCCCTTACTCCATAGTGGACTGCCTTAGCCCATGGGTATGCCGCATTAAAAAAAAAAAAAAAAAAAAAAAAAGGAAAACTGAAATGGGTACATGTTTCACAAATTAAATTGTTTACATAAATAATGTTGTTTAAATTCTTTGCAAAAAAAACCAACCTGGAACCTGAGCACAAGGTGCTGCTTAACCACCACAATTTTAATCCACAACAAATAGAACTCCAGTGTAAGGTCTGGCTTTACCTGCTTCTGAAAACTTTTAGCACCCAAATAATTAAAGCAATCATTTAAAAAAAAATTTTAAAAAAAAAATGCAGCCTTCCTTATAAGCCAATATTTAAAAAATAATTCACTCCCTGCCAACCAATCATGGATTCCTAGCAATAATCCAGTGATCATCATAAAATGGTATAATAAAACTACTAGCCAACTCTTGAAAGCCTTAAAAAACAAAACAAAACAAAAAATACCTAATATGTATGCCTGGGAAGGGGAAGTGGAACTTAAGGTTCACCTTATAAACATCACAAAAATACCAAATCACTAAAAAAATAGGGGTTAGAACAAAAAAGTCCCTATAAAAATACCACCTAAAGTTCCAACTACCCACAACCACCATATCAGTAAAATAAGCCTGTTAAAACAGGAACAATACTAACAGTTACTGTGGAATACTGTCCAATACCCTGTAGTAAATTAAACCTATGGTTCCTGAACACATGCTCCAAAACCTGGACCAAAAAAAAAAAAAAAAAATGCATTCGAAAAAGGTACCCCAATTAAAAAAAAAAATTATTTGTGACTCAAAGTAATCCAGTAAAAGTATTGTTAAATCCACTATTAATAAAAATAAAAATTGGTATGTATTAAATTCAGTTGAACATGTCTAAATTAAAACTTAACTGTTCACCCTACTCCTTTCCTATTATATCGGCCTAAATAAAAACACAACACTCCAATGTCTAAGCAAAACAAAATATAGTAGACACCATATTAAAAAAAAAAAGTTAAATTTAAAGCAAAAATGATAAACACTGTAAACCTAAATTAATTAAAAATAAAGTTTCTTGTCACAACTGCAAAATAGTTTCATTCACAAGCAGGCAAATAATACTGTGGATTTCATAAAATTAGGAAATAAAACTGCCTTGGCCATAAAATGTACTAAAATGCAAATTCTTAGTTTAGCATCACTAAAACACAAAATGTTTCGGGTAATATCTAAAAATGTTCAAATATTAACGCATCTTTTAAAACAATAAAAAAGGTCCTTGTTTAACACCTACAAATATAAATGAATGCAATATGTTTCCAGCATGGTTAAGCCTAATTTGTTATTAAGTAAAATTATTGTTAAAATTGCTCACCAACAATCTGTAAAAACAAAAATATAAAAAATAAGCCCACTTCCAAAATTAACCACAGGATCCTTTTGGCTACACGAGTTATAGGTCTGTGGGCTAAAAAAAATTATTGAATACCCAAGGGTGTACAAAATGAAGCCTCAAAAATGGGTGTTCTTGTCCCTACCTGTCACCACAAAACCATGTAGCAAAAATACATCACTGGGGGGACAAACTAGACAAAGTGACACATGTACAACGACAATGTGTATGTATTACATCCTGAGAAACAGTATTTTGGGAAAATACAAGTATCAGCCAACCCCCAGTAAATAAATGTAGATATAATGCCCAGGTATTATATACTAGCAATCACACATACTATTTATCAAAAACAAAAAAGCACAGAGCACAGCCACCCCAGTTAATTTCTCTCTTACCCTTGGCCTAGATTGGCACGATCTAATTAATCGCCTAAAGGTAAACAAAGGTAACTCAGTTTTTACAACAGACACAGAGAAATATAGGAAAGTGTGTCATTCAAATATGTCATGCAAATAAAAACATGCTAAAACTTGCTAGGTCTTAACAAAGAAAAACCAAAAGAAACCTAAAAGCCTATCACTGGTACGAGGTTTTAACAGGCTGGTCCCCAACTTTTAAAGGCATATCATCTATTATGTTTCACCCATTACTATCTGTGTTAATATTGTCCCATGTTTACTTGCTAAAAATGTGTTATATGTGCTGTTAAATAAAAAAAAAAGTTTGTTAAATTACAACCACAAGCTCAAATTGTCTCTCAATATATTGCTATAAAATAATTGTATAAAATATGACCCACTCAAGAATTGTTCTTGAGGGGCCAAAAGGGGGACATGTAGTAGTAAAATTTTATGTTTGTATTTTGTATAATTTAAAATAAAAAATAATAATATTGCATGTATTAAATGTACTGGTGTATGATTTAATCATATCCTGCCAGCTACCCTTTTTGAATAGCAGAAAGGAATGGCCTAATGGGCCATTTGGAAAAAAATGCATCAGCAAGAATCTGTGTCTGGGCTGATTCCAAGACAGTAACAGACATTTTAAGATCACTACTTGGTTGTAGGTTTAGCATTTTTAAATAAGTAAAAAGATGCCATTGTTTTCTTATGCACTGCAACATGATGTTTCTGTTTAAAGTGTTCTGTGTAAATTAATTCTGTTTTGTGTGTAAATAAAAAATATATGTGCAAAAAAATAAGTGTAAAGGCCACCGCTGAGCCAAATGTACCAAAAAAAAAAAAAAAACCGCAAGAAACAAACGCAAGAACGCCAAAAGGCTGCAACATGCCCCTATAAAAATATATTTAAAAAACCACCCCGAATCAACAACTCTAAAAACAAAACAGGCACCTATCAACAGGGACAAAATAGCTGCAATAAAAAAAAAAGAATTAAAAAAACAAGTACTCATCAAACAATTAATTACAGCATAATGGTGCAAAGTTCATTAGTCCCTTCACCTGCTCTAAAATGCTAAGTGAAACCAAAATGAAAGCTCATCACATGCACAGCCTGTTATCTAGGGGCTGTGGTTTTTAACTCATTGATGTTTGCAATGCATTTTCAGAACATCAGATAGAAGGCACTAGGGTAGAATGCCCAGGACAGCAGGGCTCCTGGAAGACTAGCATTCTCATTGAGCCTTGGGAGAACAAGAATGGAACGCACTCAGATCAACCCGGAGGGGGCGGCTGTAACAGACACACAATTGGGATGCCTCAGAAAGGAGAGCAGGCCGTGTCTACAAACTGTAGGCAACATCCCAGGCCACGAATAAATCTACCCTGAACCTCCCTCTTTTACTGACCATCCTATTACAACCACTGTTCCTTGTTGACGTAATTCTATCATATCCTTTAGCCCAAAACCATGTTACAAGGCACTCACTTTGTCTCCCATGCACGCATACCTTCCCCAGCACTTGAGACACAAAGGAGATGGAACAGTCCAAGCCACCTGTGGTAAAATGAGACACATGCTTAATGAAACACTTAGATTACCAGCCACCAACATCTTCCTGGAGACTGATTATCAGGAGACCTCCCCTTGTACTGTTTCACTCTCTCAGTGCAGCTGTAGTTGGTCTGCGATCTCACCTCTCAGCGAGTCAGAGATCCTCTGCAACACCTGGATGATTTCAGTAGCCAGCAGAGGGAAATAGTTTTGTGGGAAGAATATAGGCAGGTTATTCCCCTGGAGCTTGTTGCACAAGTGGTCAGGCAGACACACAACCTTGTTGAGGAGGGTCTCTTGTAATCTGGGCAAACCAGCCTGTGCCTGCTGATGACAGACCTCCCACATCAGAGCCGACATGCCTCCAGTCTGCAGAAACTGTTCCAGGATGCTAATGACCTTCATCAGCCGAAAGCTGGGACTGGAAAGAAATAAGAGTGCCCCCCCCCTTTTAATTAATGAGGAAGAGTACAAACAAAAGAGAATCATAGAACTGGAAGGAACCTCAAGAGGTCATCTAGTCCCATCCCCTGCACTCATGGCAGGACTAATTATCTAGACCATTCCTGACAGGTGTTTGTCTAACCTACTCTTAAAAGTCTCCAATGATGGAGTGGCAATCATCCCACATCCCCGCTGTGATCCCATCAACTCACACATAGTGCCACAATGCACCAGAATGTAATTTAAGATTAGCAGTGAAATAACACTGTATCCCTACAGCTACTTCTGCCTGTGACTCTCACTGCACTTTACACGCGTTAGCAAATTCAGCCTCACTACCCCCATGGGAGGTGGGGAAATATCATCAGTGCAAAACAGTGAAAAATGAAGCACCAAGAGCTGAAGTGACCCTCTCAAAGCAACACAGTGAGTCAGTGGCAGAGCCGGGAATAGAAGCCAGGTCTCCTGGGTCCCATCCCTGTGTTTTAACCACATTAAAATCTTTCTACCAATGTAGTTATGCGCCTTCTACCCTTGGGCCCTGAATCATGACCAGAATGCCAAAGCCAGGAATCATCAGGCCCATCTTGAACATTCCCCTTTTATGCTTTGATGTGTAAAGAAAGGCCTCTCTATCCTGCAACTACAGCTGAACCTGGGGATTTGATTACAACACACTCGTTCTTTCACATCATTACAACAATTGCAATGTGAAGTATAAGCAGGCCAGTGCCCATACTCAACACCCAGATTAAAGCATTGGAAGTGACCACAAAGTTAGCATGGTTCATGGACAAGGCTACAAATAGACAGGTCTTTTCTGCACTAAACTGAAGCCATGTTTACCAGATCATCTGACTAGGTTGGAATTGTAGTGTGAAGGGGCCATCACATGTTTACATGCTTTTAGTGCTAACAAATATGGGGCTGAAGCCAGGCTTACCCAGTAGAAATGATGGAGTCCAGCAGAACCAGAAAGGCTTGGTCAGCTGGCCCGTCCAAGAAAAAGCTATCCCATAATTCCTTCTGCTGATCAGAGGTAAGAAGTTCTATCCATTCTGGACTCAGGTTACTGACAAGACCTCGCAAAAAGGCAGAAAAATGCACACGGGTAAATTCTTCCCTGTCCTTCAGGGGGGCTTGGTTTTCAGTTCCACCTAGGTAGCACTTAATTGTGCCAAGCGCCTCTGAGATCTGGACTCCATTCCTGGAAGAGGAAAGGATGTTGATAGCTTCTCGTACCACACGTCCAACTTCAAAGGGCTCAGAATCCATCTGGTAAAGTCACTTCTGGAACTGATCAAACAAAGGGGAAAATGAAGCAGAGAAAGATGGTGCCCAGACACCTGGCTACTGCAATCTCTCTGAAAGGGCATTCTGTTTAGCCTGCAGATGAGATGAGTCTCGTAGTCTCAGCCCAGCCACTAGTGGGTGTTTCTCCACATCACAAAACTCCCACACAAACTGGCAGGCCTGCAAGCCTCTGCCCAGCACTGGAGGATTATTAGTTAATTATTATCATAATTTATTTGTATTGCAGTAGCACTTCAGAGAAGAGCCATGCAAATCCAATATCCGCAGACCATTTATGTGGATTGATGCACATGTATCCGCATAGGGCTCTACTTAAGATCCCCTGTCATGTACCAGGACCCATGATTTGACTGAGATCAGAGCCCCATGGCACTAGGTGCTGTAAACATATATGGGGCCTCAGGGTGTTAGGTGTTGTTGCACAGGAGCTGAGACATTAGGCTCTGTGCATGCACACACCCGGTCTCAAGTGCTGTGCACACACACAGGGGCTGACCAAGATCTGGGCCCCAATAAGCTAGGCCTTTACACACACATGACGTCAGATCACAAAGAGTGCCCCCTCTTCCTGCCCCCGACACACATCCTCAGACTGCAGATGCCATGGGCATGCACGCACACACACACAGGGCCTGTGGCATTGCACATGCATGCATACAGGCCCCATGGTGCCAGGTGCTACACACACGGGGCCCATGGTGCCAGGTGCTGCACACACACAGGGACACACGCACGGGTCCCATGGCACTAGGTGTTGCGCACCCACACAGCCCGTGGTGCCAGGCACAGCTCACACTCAGGCACACACACAGATACGGGACCTGCAGGGCAAGGTGCTGCACATACATGCAATCAGGGACACAAACGGGGCCCGCAACGCTAGATGCCGTGTGCACACACACGTGGAGGGGGGGCACGGCGTTAAGCGGTGCACACATAGGTGCACACACGGAGGCCGCGGCGCTAGGCGCTGCACACACGCGCGCGCGCACACCGTGAGGGGCGGTCCCTATCCCTGTCCCAGGCGCTCGCAGCCCGCTTGCCTCGCTCTCCAGTGGCGCCGGCCGGGATCCGCCGTGTCTCGCAGCGGGCAGGGGCGGGGCTAGCAGCACCCCCGGCCCAGCGCGAGCCTCGCGTGAGGGCGGGGCGCCGAGATGTGTCGTCCCCCCCACCCCAGCCTTCCGTGACAGACTTACCCCTCCGGCCCGCGCGCTCTTCCCGCTAACACCTTCTCGCTGTCACCCAGCCTAAGATTCGCCACACCCCACCCCCAGTCCACGCGTATCGAATCTGCTGAGCCGGGGCCGAAGGCAATGCTTGAAATGTCTCCTCTTAAAGAGACAGTAACACGTGACAGGGGAGCGTCCGCTCTTCCCAGCCCGCCCCCCCACGGGTCCGTGGGTTTTCCCTCTCCCAGCACCCGCTGCTCACCCCACGTGGGGTTCCCCCACCCCACTCGTACCCTGTGGTGTTTCCCGACCAAATCCAAGCCCCGAGAGCTTACAGGGGCGGTACTAGGAGGCTCGTTCACGGCATGTCACAGAATCGGGGCTGGGCGGGCTGACCTTGGCCCCAGGACGGGAAAAGGCGAAGGTGTAATAGCAACGTGCAGCCTAGCCCACAGTGGGCCCCTGAGATTTCTTCATCCCTAGCAAGCAACGCTGGTGCACAGGGCAGTACCCCTGGAGAAAACACGTTCAGGCCAGGGCCTGTACGTGCACATGCCTTATGCGGATGGGTTGTATTAGTTGGGCTACACCACGTCTACCATGTGATCTGGATTGGCAGCTGCAGCTTGCTCCTGTTGTCACTTGGTCAGGGCTACAGGGAGTTCTTAGATCTCTATCTCCTAGCTGCAAAGGAGATATTCTGTTGCCTGTTCCTGCCTCATTACACTGCTTTTCTTCTCAGGCTCCTGTTCCACGCCACTGTGCCTCTTAATGCAGCACCTTGGAGCAAGCCCTCAGCCAGCATCAGGCTGATTCCCTCCCCCATTTGCCTGTTAGACCTGAGCAACAGGACATTCCACTCTCCTAGGCAGTTAGTGGGATGTGACATCATCCCGAACGGGACTGTCCACCATACCTGTTTATTTTTTTGCCTCCAATACGGGCCTGCTGGCTGTCTCTCACAGTTGTCTTGGCAGGATGCAAAGGGAAGTGATAAGTTATTTTCAAGAGCAAGGGAAGAGGTGAGAATTCCAACTGATTCCTTCATCAACTGAGAAGAGTATGGGTCTCACTACAGACTCTGAGCCAGAGTAGCAGAAAGACAAAGGAGGCTCATGCCACTCCTGAAACTAGTACCCATGTGACATGCCCTCTGGTACAACTATGCTGGGAGGAATCTCTGCTCAAGTCTTCGAGACTGTAGATGAAACAGCAGGGGAGTAGAAGGGAAGAAAAATACAGTTCAAGCTGCACTTACTTTATTTTTACCATGTGTATGCACTGACCTCATGACACAATCACTGTTCTCTAGCTCAAATTAATTCTATTACCTTTCCTCTTGATCAGCCAGCTGCCGTTGCCAGTAACATGAAGCTCATCCATTCCAGGATTAAGTGGAAAAGATTTTATCTTAAACATTTAAAATAAAAAGGAGCTGTTAGAGTTGCTACCTCACCCCCACAATGTACAGGTGAGGCCAACAGTCTACAGGGAAGGAACCAATGAATATTCTTTAATCTTAACTCTATTGGTTTATTCAATATAGTCATTCTACACAAATACAAACACAACATGACCTAAGATGCTACAAAGTTATACAAAAAAAAATCAAACTTTATAGATTGACTGTACAATAGATGGTAAGTTACTTGCCTTTTGCAAGATTACCCAAATTAATCCAAACAGCATCAGTCTCAAACCGCCCCCTTTTCATTGCAGTAAGGTGGGGTTTTGATAGTGTTGCCAGTTTGTACTGTGTTTTCTAAAGGTGGAAACATTTACACCATTTGGTAGAGGGTTGTGTGTGAAATTTGTACCAAAACCCTTCAGGAAGGGCCAGGGGATCCCTAAAGAGGGCCGTTACAAAACAGTCCTTCAATTCTTGGCCTGTTTCTAACATGCAGTAGGTGACGCAGTGGGACTGGCCAAAAATCATCACCTTCAATGTCATGCAAGTCTGCAGCACCCTGCCTCTTTGTACAAACAGAAATTTATGATCTCACTATTCAGGGCATGGGGGCAGAATGACAACTGACTATTTAAGTTTGAGGCGAATTTCTGTGTTTGGGTACCACCAGTTCTGAAGATCTGCACTGATGTCTTGAGATGGATAACACCTCACCCCACCCCATCCCTTCTCTTAGTAGTAGCCAGCCTTATGATTCCCAAAAGAGGTCAGTATTTTAGTTTTTTCTGCATGGCATGCTAAGCCTACTGGCCAGGAAACCCCCTCCTCTTAATTTGCCTTCACTGCCAGGTTTTGATTTCTCTCACTTCCCCTTACCCAGGCCCATTATAAAAAAGGTACAATATTTAGTCTGGTGGGATTTAAGTTAAAAAATAAAAAGCTGTCCAGTCCTTTTTGCTTTATCGTGAAGAGTTTGAGCTGGAGCGGCTGCGATGACGTCTTCGGCCTGGAGATCTGGATCTTGACCGTCGGCGAACAGGGGACCTGCGTCTTGGAGATCTGGATCTGCCAGAGAAAAGGACGAGAAAAGTTTCATTAGGAGACAAGGACAACAGGTTTAAATTACTTTACATGCATCTAGCACCAGAAGGATCCCAAAACATTTTATACAAAGAGCTCTAGTGAAATGCAGACATCTCTGGGGTGGAAGGAGGCAGCTCAACAGCACACAACTCAGCAAGAGGGAATATTTTGAACAAGGATACCATGGCAAGCCACCAGAGAACAAACTGGACCATGGGCTTTTAAATTCTCACCTGAAAGACCTTGCCCCACCCAAGTAAAGAGCACTATACTCTATTTATATTTCACAGAAAATCGAAGAGCTAAGTTGATCTTACTGGTATTTAACCTGTGAATCCAGGGAGTCTAGGTACTCCAGTGCCAATACTACCACCAGCAGTACAGCCCCTCTGGCTCCGAACATTAAACTTGCGTTGTTTTTCTTTATCACACTGCAGAACTGTTAGCTTACTGCAACTTCAGAAAGGGGGACAGAGCCTGGACTACAAACAGAAGCCAGTAATCTTAACTGACTTTGTAGGACCTATATACATGCATCTAATGGGAAGCACAAAACAAGAAGATATCATGAACTTAAAGCCAAGAAAAAATGGTTACCTGCCTTTCATAACTGTTGTTGAGATGTGTTGCTCATGTCCATTCCATGTCAAATGTGTGCACGCCACATGCATGGAGATTTTTCCCCCAGTGGTGTCTATAGGGCCAGTTCTAGCACCACCTGGAGGCCTACGCTCATGTACCAGTATAAGGGGCGCGACCAGCCCTGCGCCCTTCTTGCCGTCAACTCCAACAGCAGAGTAGGAGGGCGAGTCATGGAATAGACATGAACAACATCTCGAAGAACAGTTACAAAAGGTAGGCAACTATTTTTTCGAGTGCTTGCTCATGTCCATTCCATGTCAGGTGACTCACAAGCAGTGTCCTTGGAGGTGGGCTGGGAGTTCACAAGCATGCCGATAGCAACACAGCTCTCCCAAAACTGGCATTGTCTCCAGCCTATTGGGTGATTGTATAATGGGACATGAACGTGTGAATCAACGATGATGTTGCAGCCCTGCAGATGTCCCGAATCAGTATTTGCGCCAGGAAGGCCGCTGAAGACGCTTGTGCCCTTGGTAGAATGGGCCTTCATAACGGCCAGAGGCAGGACTTTCGCTTGCTCATAGCATGCCCGGATACAGACTGTAATCCAGGACGAGATCCTCTGGGAGGACACCAGGAGACCTTTCATTTTATACACAACTGCAACAAACAGTTGCATGGATCTGCAGAAGGGGCTCATCCGGTCAACATAGAAGACTAAGGCCCTTCTCACATCCAGAGGGTGTCGGCATCTTTCCTCCTCTGATTTATATGGTTTTGGGAAGAAGACCAGCAGAAAAAGGTCTTGGTTGACATGGAACTGCAATACCATCTTGGGTAGAAAGGCTAAGTGGAGATGCAGTTGAAACTTATCTTTAAAGAACACAGCGTAAGGAGGCTTGAAGGTCTGAAACTCTCCTGGCCAAAGTGATTGCCACCAGGAAACTGAACTTCCACGAGAGGAGCACAAGGAGAAGGACCAGGTTTAAGTCTCAAGGCGGAATTGGATCATGGACCTGTGGGTAGAACCTCTCCAACCCTTTAATGAATTTGCTTGTCATCTTCTGGCCAAAGACCAATCTGCCTCAGGTCGGGAATGAAACGCCGAGATGGCCACCAGATGGACCTTGACTGAAGACAGTGAAAGGCCTTGCTGCTTCAGATGAAGGAGATATTTCAAAATGGACTGCAAAGATGCCTGTGATGGGCACAGGTTCTGCTCAGCTGCCCAGCAAGTGAAGTATTTCCACTTGGCCAGGTAGGTTGCCCTAGCACAGAGCTTTCTGCTACCTAGCAAAATACCAAGCATGCAGTCTCATCCACATTTAGCTATTCAGCAGCACCACCATCAAATGCAGACCTACTAGATTCGGATGGAGCAGTTGCCTGTGGTCCTACGACAGCAAGTCCGGTCTGAGAGGAAGTCCAGAAGGCTGCAACTGTGAGATCTACGAGCATGCTGAACTTATACTAGCGAGGCCATGCTAGGGTGATCAGGATGACCTTTGCCTTGTCCCTTTTGATCTTCAGAATCATAGAATATCAGGGGAAGGGACCTCAGGAGGTCATCTAGTCCAACCCCCTGCTCAAAGCAGGGCCAATCCCCAATTTTTGCCCCAGATCCCTAAATGGTCCCCTCAAGGATTGAACTCACAACCCTGGGTCTAGCAGGCCAATGCTCAAACCACTGAGCTATCCCTCCCATCTAGAAGAACCTAGGCCATCCGACCATGACCGGAGGAAGGAATCTGAGAGAGAGTCTTTGCCTTGACCAAGCCTAGAGCAAAAGAGGTGACATTTCTTGTTCTGCCCAGAGGTAACAGGTCCACCTGGGGAGTCCCCCACCTCTGGGGGATGATGCTGGTGACCTGAGAGCGGAGAGATCACTCGTGGTAAGAGGAGAACAACCTGCTGAGGTGATCTGCCAACACCTCCCACTCTCCGGGGAAATGCGACAACGCCAGGTGAATGGAGTGCTTCACAGAGAAATCCCAGAGCCTGATGGCTTTCTGAGAGAGGATCTTGTAGTGTGCCCCTCCCTGTTGGTTG